TTTTTAATAGTTTTCCGGATACACGCAGTATTATTTCATATGGCGCTTTCAGTGGTAAAATACGAGAGAAAAATGATTGGGTGGCTTTGATAAAAATTTACTGTGGAAAATGCCATATGAAATATAAAACCGCAAATATTTGCGAAACCGTTAAAAATTTTGAATACTGTAAATACAAAAATGTCATTTTTAATTACTCCGTCTACGGAAAAAAGTAATATACAGGGTGTTCCATTTAAAAAAAACGAAGAAAAATTATTTTATATTTTTAGAAAGTTTGGCGTAGAATTTTGAACATCCTGTATAATTTACGATATTCATATTTATAGCAAAGTAAGAATAGACCATCTAAAGAAAATACCTAATATAGTTTTGATTTCAGAACAGTTCTTGTATTTTTAATAATTTTTTTAAGAAGGGCAGAAAAATATATATTTTTGATTTATTTTTTAATATCTCTGAAACTATCGAAATGTATTTATTCATATCTTAGAGTTATGTAAAGTGATCGGAAAGAAAGCCAAAAATGCAATAATATACAGGGTGTTCCATTTAAAAAAAATCATCCAGGTCCACTCACACTTTTTTGAGCCTGAAATACATCCTGGTACATACCTTAGGTTTGCACTTAAACAAAATTGTCAAGTTTTTTATTCTAGGAGCTACAGATGCCCGACGCACTATTGCCGGACCCTGTATATGTACTTGATATGTGCTATACGTCGATACTAGTTTTGTACCTTTTGTTAACATTTTAATACATTTTTTTCGTAATTAATTAGTATGATACACACCATAGGCGTAGTCAAAACAATTATCAAAAAATATAAATATTGCTCAAACAGCTAAGTTAAGAAAAATATGTGCCACGGCACTGTTTGGTGACATCGGCACAATTTGCTCTCGGGTGTTATTTGTCCTTGGATTCTTTAGTCATTGGTCGTGAATCGTGAACTTTGTATAAACTTTATTGCAATGGTAATTAGTTGTTCAACTTTAAGTGTAAAAGCCATAGCGATAAGAAAGAGCTAGGAGTTAAGTTTCATAAGTAAATAAGGTAAAGGCAGGGTAAAGGTGTGGATCCGGTGGCTGACCTTGAAGCCCGTATTTCGTATTTGCTACATTTGATCATAGATACTACGCAAGCGCACATCGTCGGTGTTGCCAAATTGCAGTTTATTTTCGAATTATTTGCTGTAGAAAACAAAAAATGTTTTTTTGAGCGTTAATCAGTAATAATTTTATAATTTCAGATGATCTTGATACCAAAAATTGAGGTAAGAAGGATAATGGAGATTATGAAGTTAAGATATTGTTATTGTAATTGGAGTTGTAAGGAATTTAATATTGTACTAATAATATCCCATTTATTTATATATTAAATATATTGGAATTAAAAATTATCATTTACGGATTTTTTCTTACTGGTTTTAAACCTATTAGATTTATTTTATATCATCAATATGACACATTTATTATATCAAAGTTGTTTAATTTCTAGTTATTTACAGGCAACAATAGTTTTGATTAAGTCAATTATAAATTATATGTATTAAAGTACTACCGCGCATGACGAGTCTTATAGCACGATACAAGTCAATTGCTGTCCTCCATTCGCGAATTTCAAGTTCCAGAGCTTTACGTATGGCTTTACGCCCTGGGCCCGTATTCTGTAACTTTGACATAAAGACATTACGCTTTCAAAGCGGTGAGCGCAAGTATTCGATCAGCGGTTTCGCATTTCGAAGCAAGGCAGTCGATTTTGATATTCTCGTTGCCATGCGAATCGTGTTCTGGATACGCGTTGAGCACATATTGACAACATCACAATTTCTAATGTAGTTAATAGTCAAAAGTTGATAACTGACGGATGTAACAATGAAAAATGTCAATGTTACGTGAATTTTATAACCTATTGTTGAGTTATGTCCAGAGAAATAGAAGGGATAGTTATGTCAAGCTATTTTTCTATGGATATGTCATTATTTTTATTATACGAGGGAAGTGTTGAAGACACTTCTTTGCATTTTCGATGTTTTGAACAATATTTATAGCTGGCAAGTCGTAAATTATCAATTACTTATTGAGGAATTTATAGAAGAAGTAGTCATTTTCACTAAAGAGCCAGATAACGCACAAAATCACAATTTTTTCGAGTTTCACTGACAGTTCGACAAGCAAAACGATCCTTTAAGGCAGCCGTTTTCAAAGCGCTCAGCGCAATCAGTAAAGACGGTAAGCGCGTCAGACGAGAATACCGGAATCGCTAATTAAGTGCGCGTTCAGCGAAAATTAACGTAATATTCGCTGAGCATCTAAAAGCGCTTAGCATTTTCAAAGTTACAGAATACGGTCCGGGCTGCTCAGAACGGTTCTGAAAGCAGCTGTGCGCGATAGCCTGGTGCTTTAATATGGCGCGGAACACTTCTGAACTTTATGACTCAATTGAATGAAGTGAGAGTATGGCGTTCTTGAACAGTTCAGAGCTGCATAACTGCGTGAATGGAGGACAGCATTTGTTATCTGTGGAGCTGCTCAACTGTGTGAAAGGAGGACAGAAATTGCTGTCCTCCATTCGCGAACTTCAAGTTCCAGTACTTTACGCCCTGGGCTACTTAAGAACGGTTCTGAAAGGAGCTGTGGGCAATAGCCTGGTGCCTCCATATGGCGCGGAACAGTTCTGAACTTTATGACTCAATTGAATGGAGGGAGAGTATCGCGTTCTTGAACAGTTCAGAGCTGCACAACTGCGTGAATGGAGGACAGCATTTGTTATCTGTGGAGCTGCTCAACTGCGTGAAATGCTGTCCTCCATTCGCGAACTTCAAGTTCCAGTGCTTTACGCCCTGGGCTACTCAAGAACGGTTCTGAGTGAGAGTATCGCGTTCTTGAACAGTTCAAAGCTGCACCACTGCGTGAATGGAGGACAGCAAATGAGATAGAGGTATCATTTGGTATCATTTTACCTAGTTTGATTATAGTGTTTGTATCATAATTTCTTAAAAATATCAAGTTAGTGGATTAATAGCAATTGTAGGCATATATTTTATCGAAGAATGCTGATAGGATTAAAATAAGCTTTATATTTTATCTTTTTCTCGGTAATGGTGTGGATCCGGTGGCTGACCTTGAAACGAGTTTTTTGCTGCATATAGTCACAGACACTACGCATGTGCACATCTTCGATGTTGCCAGATTGCAAGTTATTTTTGAATTATTTTCAGTAGAAAACAAATATGTGCTTTTCAGTGTTTTTTTGTCAACATATACCGTATGATCGAAAAAACGGCGTCCAGTTGGCTGGGAAATGACGATTAAGGATATTTCCCATATAAAATGACAACGATCTTCATTTCATAATGATCGCTGACGTTTTTTTTTTCAATCATAGTACGCCGGTATATTATTTATATTATTTTAATATTTCGCACAACACGTGAACGCTTATTATGTATTTTCATAGTCAATAAAATTAAATAGATATAAAACTCTAGATTCTCATAATAAATCTAATTGCTCTAGATTATTATGCTACGTTTAAAAAGTGTTTTATTAAAAATTCGGGAAATTAAAAGTGACGTGTCCAAGTTTTTTCTTTTTTTTTTTAATTTTTATATGCTGTAGCTCCATGTCATCAGATGTCATATTCATAATAAGTTTTTTTAACATTCCATCAAAACTACGGAGGCCTTGTGAGGTTCAAGTTAACGTCTCCTTTCTGCTGCAATGGCTAAACTGGACGGGACCTACTTGTTTACGCGGAATCCGAACCGCGGTCCTCGGCCATATCATGGTCAATGGCCTACCGACTTAGGAAGTGTCTAAATTAACTCTTACTCACGAGATATCCGATCTCATCCGGCCTTGAACCGGCGTGAATGAGTAGTGTGTATCAATAGATTTTACACTTTTCCCTTTTTGGACAACAGCACGATGCAAAGTTTCGAACCGGTCACCCGTCCATCCACTAGCATCGCCTTACGACGCTTAACTTCGGTGTTCTAATGGGAACCGGTGTTTCGACGTAGCTGGGCCGTTGCCCATTATTTATATTAATATTTTAATATTTCGCACAACGTGAACGCTTATTATGTACAATATTTTCATAGTCGATAAAATTAAATAGAAATAAAACTCTAGAAGCTAATTACTCTAGATTATTAATTATTATGCTAGTTTAAAATGTGCTTTATTAAAAATTCCGAAAATTAAAAGGGGTGTGTCCAAGTTTCTTCTTTTTTTTAATTTTTAAATGCTGTAGCTCCAAATCATGTTCATAATAGGTTTTATAACATTCTATTAAAACTATGTATGTCTTCTTTAACGAAGCACTTTTTAAACTAGCATAATAATGAAGAGTGTAAGAGTCAGTTATTTTTCAAATAATATTTTAAACAATAATTAATTAATAATTCTTTAAAAAACCTAAGAACAAGATAAATTATTCGTCTATTTGCGCTGCCTGGTGAAGGTTTAGGGTCTTTTACAGCGGGAAAAAACGCTTATTTAATTTTGAGATAAAGATGTATATGGTGTCAAAATATGGCAAAAAGAGCAAATATATCATCCACATACCTAATCCAACTCTTGTTACTCCCCTAGTTGCCAAGAGTACGGATTAGGTGTAGGATGAAGCTGGTTTTTAGCTTCTACTTCAAACCTGCTTATGAATAAATTGGCCAAGAATAGAGTGTCAGTATAAATGCCCAACCTGTAAATTAAACAGCTGATGATGCTAACATGGTTAGCAATACGCACGTCCAGCATTAAAAGTAAAGTGTTTTGGGATATTGTAGCGAATTAGTGTTTTATTCTGCTGATGTACACCAAACATTCCAACCCCAACTTTATTCTATCAATTAAAATGACTGATAACTATCAACGTCATATATTCTCTCCCTGAACCTAACCTAAACAAAATTAATATTTTTTTATCACTTGTCATTTTTTATATGAAAAAATAAGTTATAATACAAAAATTGGGTTAAAAAATTGGTTAGTTGCGGTTGACTACAAGTTTTTATTAATGACTGACATGAAAATAGTATATTGAAGGTCATATAAATATATGACCTTCAATTAACCTATTGGACATAACTATTATAAGTACATTACCTATATGTACAGAATATTTACATAGGTATTATGGATAGTATGTAGTATATGGATGATGATATCCTACGTTTGTTGGCGAAGTCACGTGAGATCGAGGTGTTATGGGAGTGGGATGATAGGGTGTCTGAGATACTCCAGTATAGCTGCCAAACGGCGGCATGGGAGGTGTAACAGTACCGTTAGCCGCTGCTGGTGGTAGAATGCGAGTATCTCCAAGTAATGATCGTTGATCCAGAAGACGTGATTGATCTGTTAATAAACGACTTTCATCTGTCAGAAGTCGTGTCTGGTCTGATCCTGAAAAACAACATTTAGAGAATATTGTAGATTCGATACAAATTGAAGTATTGAAAAGCCTATGTTAGTTGTAAATAGATGAATATAAATAATATATACCGGGTGCGTCTTAAAACTGACTCACCCCCTATAACTTTTTTATTTTTTCAGATAAATAAACGAGATTTGGTATGTTAGTATATGACTTAAATTAGGATTGATTGGTATATTCAATTGTTTTTGGTCAATTCCTGTTTCACCGGAAATGACTACAACTTTTGATTTTTAAATGGCACCCTCGGTATTTTTTTACTTTAGTCGATAGAAAATGACATTCTGAATAGAATGACATATCATATGTCAACTTTTGACATTCTCACTTAATAAAAAATTGTATTTTAAAATTCGATCTAGAGTGCCATGGCTATCTTAAAAACGCCAATTCTTCATCAAGGAGCCTTGGAAAAATAGATTTGATCGTCTAATGTTTTTAGTGTCTTGTCCTGGCCAGTTAGAAAATGCTTAAACCGTATTTTTAAGAATAAATCAATTTTTTTCAAATGGAACGAGGGTGGCTCATTAGCATATTTGGAAAAAGAATTTTTTTACGAATAATTTGATACCACCAAAGACATCTAAATATAGGTAGACAGAACACTCCATTCATAAAACTCAATTTTTTAGAATCATACATGGTTTGGCACTTTTATGAGAGTTAAAAAGAGATGGGTACATAAATATGACAACACGGTTGAGTTTCGTCTGTCTTTCTGTCATTTCACTCCATCAGTGGCGTGACGGTGGTGTGGTGTTTTTATCAAAATTTTAAAATACTTATTTGTGTATTTTAATTTAAATTTTAATTTGTAATATACGTAGTAATATCGATAATATACAATGTAGGGGCGTTTGCACCAAGTTTTTTAAGCAAAACTTAACACTATGTTTAGCTTATTTTCTTGCACTATGCTTTAATCTAACTTGAATTTATATTTAAATTAAGCGGTCAAATTTCCAGGCTAGTGGTCACTTAACCTATCTTAGACACAAAAATATTGTTTTACGAGGAAGAATTATTGTTATTCCTTTGAGAAAGCTAAAAAATGTATTATGATACCTCTACGTAAGTTCGATGATTACTTTTGATATCCTAGACGTCGATCAGTAGGTATATTCATTGAAAATGGATTTCCTCAAGAATGGATGTAAGGAAAAATCATATTGCCAAGAAATGAACCTCCTTAAGTTTTTAGGACAGAGACTTTTAAACGACACTGTAATATATATCATTATTAATTACCTCGGTTTAATTGAACAAAATCTAGAATATCAAAATGAGAGGTAAGTTGGAATGCTAGTAAATCTAATGTAAGATAAATTAATTATATTTATACTTTGAACCATTGTTCTTTAGTATTTCCAGAAACAACAGCATAACTGCCATAAATCAACAACAATTTTATAGTATATTTGGGTTTCCTGGGATTATAGGGATAGTTGATGGAACACAATGTAAGAAAACATTCACCTGGTAAGTACCTATATATTTTCTTCAATATTTATCAGCACAAGGTTTCTTATACTTTACAGGGGGTATTGATGGAGAGGTATTTAGAAATAGAAAAGCATTATTTACCCCAACATTTAAATTACTGGAAATGCTAGTCTTAAAACTATAGACTTGATTGCTTGTTGGCATGGGTCTGTGCATGAAGCCACCATTTTTGGACATTAAGGACCCGCTTGGGGACTGGTGACTTTTCAAATTAAATCCTGCTTGGTTAGTGGTCCGTATATTTATTTACTGTTAGATCATTTATATAAAATATATTCCTTAAATATTTGAGTAGGTATTCAATTCAGAAATATATTACGAATAAGATGAATTAAAAGAAATTTTTTAAAATTAAATGTGATAATATTCAAAGGGTTCATATACTCTATTAAATTATTTTATTATCTGTTATAAGGTGAGATTGCATATGCATTGAGGGGATATATGCAGAAATACAGCTGAAGAAATGTTTCAGAATTATCGTTATATGGAAACGCCACTTTCCAATATGTGTTTTATGGTATAAAACCAAAATTACAAAATGCAATGTCAGTTATTGTTGCACAACAGTTTGTTAAGAAAAATATTATCTGTTCAATTATAGAACAAAATTTAAAAACTTAATGTATGTACTTAAATTTTTAGATTTTGTTGTTTCAATGTGCTACACAATACAGCCAGAATGATGCCTGAACAAGAGCTGCCGCCGTTAGATGAAATAAATATGGACCAAATTAATAAGAAGAGAAATAATAAATTATTTTGAAAGATTAGGGCAATATTTTTTTTTAACTTATTCTAAACATGTTTTTATGTTGTTATTAAATCTCTTGAGTATTAATTTCTATAAAATATCATTATTAAATGTCTTTTATTCAGAAATAACATATATTACATTTTTTACATTACAATATAAACACTAATTAAAATTATTAAATAAGTTCTCTTTGAGAACTTTACTGTTCTTTTTTTATTTCAATGTCTAACAACCCTTTTTTTCTTTAGCTTATGTTCTTCTCTGTTTTGAATACTACTACTTTGAATTTTGCCCATCTCCATATTACAAAAGAACAGCCTTTTGTCTAGTAAATTAATATCTTCCCTTTTCTTCTGTTTCTTTGTAACCATCAGTTTTGTTTTGAGACTGAAAAAATATCTAAATATATTGAATTCTCTTAAAAGTAATAAAAAATTCAAAAACACAATGAAAGGTTAGTACTTACAATACCAGTACTCCTATTAGTTTTAGACAATCTATCACCATCATGTTTTTTAATCCCACAATGCTCTTCTCATTTTTACATTGATTGAATATATTATTATCTTCCGTTTTTGCTTTTTGTATACGTGGACCTCCACCAGTTAGTCAAAATATATTTCAATAATTGATTTTCTTTTACATAGTATTTATACATACGTTGTAAGCTTTCCATACAAATTAGAAAGCCCAAAAATCCCGTTTTTCTTTGTGACTATGGTTGACCTTTCTTTTAAAGTAAGTCCAATAATATACAATTTAATTATTTCAAAATTATTAAAAAGTATGTTGTTCTTATATTTTTGATAATTTTTTTATATGAATATTTTGTAAATCCATTCTGAGAGTTAAAAATATCAAAAATATTGTTGAAAACTAAATGGAATTTAGAGGCCTCCTAAGAAAACTCTGGGCCAGTTTATGTATCCCTTATAAAATTCTATGTTTTCGGCGAATAAAATGACAATGTTAAAGCAAAGGATAGTAGCAGAAGATTGGATTTTTGTGTGGCAGGTCCTTTTAACATTCTTTCAAAGATATTTTGTACTGGTTCAGCTAAGGAAGCCTAAAAAAAACATATATTATCTCTATTAATGTTATATCTCTATAATATTATTATTAGTCTTTTTTAGACACATCCAAATTCACTAAAGGGTTTTAAAATTTAGACCTGGCCTTGTCATGGAAATTAGAACCTTTCATTAATCGTATTTATGCCACTGTCATATGGATTAGTGTATCATTTACAAAATTAGACCAGAACTAAATTTAAAACTTGTTAACGAATCTTGGGGACAGATTTTGACATAATGGCTGTAGGACTAAATTATTAAATGGCTGATAACTTAACATTATTATAGTTCCCCTCCGCCCGCCACTCAAATATATACATATAATAATAGTGTCCAAGATAATAATTACAAGCACTGGGATCTCAGAAACAGTAAGAGATACAGCTTCAATTATTAGAAATTGCTTTTGGCGATTTTTACTTGATTTTTATATTTTTTTGGATCCTCACATATATTACTTTACTTTGACTTATAACCATTATGTTTTTAAAATGTCACCCTGCATATCTATATTCATACCTGAATGGTCAATTCAGTTGATACACTTATCAAAGATTTTTCTTTTAAGTAATCAATTAACTGATGCATTGATATTATTTTATTTTTCAATCTTCTAAGACCTATTTGTAAAGTATGTATTTTTCATTTTCTTTGTTTCCAAATTTTTACAAGACTTAAATTTCTACATAATATCATTATAATGCCTCATTAACATACTTCTTTCTGAAATTAAAATAACTTATGCACAATTTTACTTAAGATACAGGGTGGCGCCTCTTAAATGCTACCAAGGAGAAAGAGTTTGTATTGAAATTAAATTTTGGGAGTATATGTAGGTTAATTTAGAGCATTTAAACATATAAATGTGATAAAATATGTGTTTTTTTAAAATATGGAGTTCTACAGGGTGTCGCCAAAAAAGTTACACAACAAAGTTTTGTTTTTTGGAATGGGACACCTTATATATTATTTGATTTTCGGATTCTATGAGAAAAATAAAGGTGAATTTCATTATTGGACTAAAATGTAATTTTATTCCCTTTTATTTGAAATGAACACAGCAAGTTCCCTTTTATTTGAACACCCAGAATACTATTCCGATCTTTTAATTGCAGTGTGCATTCATCAATTAATAGAATGCTTAAGGTCAAATTTTAATTTGGTTAAATATACAATGAGTAAATTTCCATCTAGGTAGCTGTTATTGAAATTTAAAGTTTATTCATTATTTTCACCAAATGTGAAATATGACAAGCCTTACATTTTAGACATATGCTTCTTTAACAAAACTCACTTTTATTTCTTTCCTAGAATCCGAAAATCAATTAATATATAGGTGTTCCATTACAAAAAAAAACTTTGATGCATAACTTTGGGGACACCGCGCAGAACTCTTGATATTTCTATAAAATGCTTTCCATTATCCTACATATGCTCCCAAAATTACATTAACGATAAAAACCACCGTTCTCTTTGGAGCCTCCGCGTCGTAGGAGAGGCACCACCTTGTATATAATGTAGAGGTAATTTTTACCTTTTTCTGATACTTTGACGACTTTCTTGAGATAATAAATATCCAACTATTGAGAGATCAGAAGATGAGGATTGTCTTACTATGCTGTAAACAAACAAAAAAACATTAATAATTAATTTTTCAATAAAACCTATTTTCGTTTTTAATTTTTTCCTAAATACTAATAATTTCCTTCTATAGTATTAAATTTATCATTAAGCGAGAATATTTTCTAGTGCAAAACAGAAGCTCACTCATAGAAAATATATGTAAACAAAAACCAACACTATGGCAAAAATTATGTAGTTTATGATCTTATAATGTGGAAGATAATTCCAAATAACATATCCTTGACAAAACATATAAAATAAAAGATAGCTATGTTAATTATACAGGATTTCTGGATATTCGACCGATAAAGCTTGACAATGAGAAGCAACAAGTCTCGTATTTTTATAAAAATTAAGATAGGAGGTAAACCCATAAAGTGCTTAATTAATAAGATACAAAGTGATATTAGTAATGTTATATTACGTTATATTGTTCTATTAAATATTATAACAGCTTCCTTGAAATCTATTACTGCTAATGACATAAACAAAGTGTCCCCTTTTCTGCAAGAAAGATAGAGATGTCAATTTTTAAATAATTAAGACGGCAAACAAAAGCAGAAAAAATGTTATTTTGAAAAAGCTCAATGTGTCAAAGTATCCCGTCTACTATAGTTACGTCAAAAGTATGATTAAGAATGTATTTAGATTTTTTACCGCAAAAATTGTGTCTACGAAATTTCGCGTCTCAATTTTTTAAAGAAATACCTGGATATGTCAAAATTAAACTTACTATTGTGACACCCTGTATGTTAAAAAGTAAATACTTCGCAAGAGGGTGTACACCTGTATTCAATAAGGCACAGTACACTACTTGACAATAATAGTTATAATGAGAGTATTTCATTTAAAATATATTACATACTAGTTGAAGCCTGGCGCATCCGCCACGACATCAGGAAAAAAAAATACTTATTATTTTTTTTAATTAAATGAAAAATAAAAAATCCGGCGATGAGCCAATTAGCTATCTTTTAGTAAAAAAAGCAACTTTCTAGAGCAAGTCGTTACTTCAGTAGAGACGACACAGATAAACATTAGCATTTTATATTATTATTATATTATATATATTACTTTGTTATGAATACAGCTATATTCCCATTCTGTTAAAAATACAAGAGCTTTTAAGCCTTGTCAGTCAAACATCCAGAATACACTTACAAAGAGCACATACTGGTTAATTCCAACTTCTTTTTCCAATGCCGTTTCTGTTGTTTTGAGGGAAGGGCTTCTTGAGAAGGGCTAGTTTATCTTGTATGATTTTAGGCAAAATCCTGTGAATTTTAATTAATTATCAATATTAAAATACATGTATAAAATGTATCAATGTTCTTACAAATTTGAGGGGCCAGCCAAACTGCCAATCGCGGGACTAGGTAGGGACCTTCTCTAGTCCCTCAGCTGGTCTGGAGGTTCATTTACCTAAAACATTTTTTGGGTGGCGGTACAAACTAGAAGAAAACCTAGAGTAAATACTAATATTAGTACAATACTTATTTATTAACTGTTAAAATGTATTTGACTGCTTTTTACCTGTATGATAAAGCCCCAGCAAAAATGGTACTATCTATTTGAGGCTCAGAATTTGGTCTTATTTGCCTTCGATCAGTTAATTCGGCGATCATAATATTGCTCTTATCAAAATCATCAGAACAAATTTGGACACACGTTAGTTTGATTTTTCAAATTCAAGAGTGAAATCGATCATTGTCTAAGCTCAGTATTTATAGGAACGCTACAAAAGTACTATTGGTTACATATGCAACACATACATATTAAGTATTATAAATCTATTTAATAATATATGTAAAATAATAAAAATATGCGGTAAAAAAAAGGAAAATTAACCTAAAGGAAAATTTTTCCAAGGTTTATTTTCCTCTATTTAAAACACCAGATATGTACTCGCCTGTGAATTGTGTGTGTGTGGGTGTTTAGGTAAGTGTGGGTAAAAGTGTAAAGGGTTCCAAAACTAAAAAAAAATATCATAAATGAAAGAGTAAAGAATTATCATAAGTAAGGCTTATCATTATCATTCAAAACAATGCATATTTTTAAGTACTGAAGCATCATTATAATTTTATTTAATTTATTAACTTTTTAATTTGAATTTTGAATACCTATATCTAAACCTTACCTATTAGGTAATTACTTATAGAATTTTTTATAATAAATAAATAATAGATCTATCATATGTGTTACGGCTAATATCTAAAACCTGCTAATGTTAACTAGAGTTCAATAAAATTAATATTTAGATTGCAAAAACAGTTTTCTTTCAACATTGGGGGAGAAATGTGGAAATTATCTAGCCAAAGTCTGAAGTAATTATAAAAATTAAATGTCTTTAGTTGAACATTAGCTAATTTTGTCATACTAATTTAGCATACTAAGCACTGCTTTAGCCATAATAAGGTACATAGTTAATATAGAATATAACTGAATAATTTTGATGTTCAAATCGTGTTCAAATTTCAGGTATTAACTACCTATAACAGCAACAGCTGTTTTATTTCAGCAGATATTAGCCATAACATACACAATTTTTAAGATATTTATAGCGGTTTCGAATGTTAGTTGGCACTTAGATATATAATATAAAAAAGTTTTTAAATGTTAAGTTGAGAACAGCCAGTATTACCCCTGAGCATTTTTTACCACCAACTGTAACAGCAAAATGGACAAATACATAAAATAATTGACTTAAAACGTAGATCGGTTTTGCCAAGGTTTTGCCTGAGGTCTAACTAAGGATAAGTCTAATTTCACAATCAAAAACGCCAGCAAATAAGAAAATATACGTATTTTTGTAATAATCTACTTATAACTAAAAGTACTTAGATACGCTACTGTAAAGGCATTGCTAAAGGTAAAAAAATGTAATAACACTTACCGTCCAAATATCAATCAGGAGTTAGAATAGTCCACCTTTAACAAACTATGCACTGGCGAACCATTGTAGATAGTTAAAAACTACTTTAAATAGTTTTCTTTGCAATAAACACTAATAATTATTCGAAAGTTGTCCGAAATCCACAAACACTTCCAACGGTCGCAGAAAACTCGCAACAATGCTCCGTTGGACAAAAGTTGAATGAATACGTCAAATGTCAGCGTAATTTCTACAGATTCCGACAATTCGTAGTAAAAATTAATCCGTAGCGATGCCGGATTGTCTTAGTAATTTCCTAATATATTTTAATAGTAATTTTAATATAATTTAATTAGAAAACTAATAATAATTTCAAAGGTATAATCCTAGTATAATTAATGTATTATAATTAAAATTATATATCTACACAAATATTTAGTCTAATGACCTTGTAATGACAATAGCATTTAGAACTCAAACCGTAATCAGCCGAAATCTACCACCGGTCACTTAAAATTGGCATCATCGATTTTTGTGCAACACGGTTCCTGATCGCGGTAAAATGTAAATTGTTTCGTCTCCTTTTATTTAGATGTCTTTGGATACCACACACTTGGTATTTCAAGTCAAATTTTCGTTACGAACCGCAAGTTATAATTTCAAATAAACCATATGCGAAAATGTCAAAAGTTGACATATGAAGTCATTCTATTAAAAATGTAAATCCATTTAATAATAAAAAGTTGTAGTCATTTCCGGTGAAACCGGAAGTGACCGAAAACAATTGAATACGTCAATCAATCCTAATTTATGTCATATACTAACATACCAAATCTCGTTTATTTAACTAAAAAAAAATAAAAAAAAGTTATAGGGGTGAGCCACTTTTGAGACGCACCCGGTATACGAGGATTGTTTTTTATATTTTGCATATAGAAACATAGGCGCTGTCAACATGTATCAAATGTCAAAATTAACTGCCCAGCAACAATTTTATGTTCTATATAACATTTCCAGAGCAAATTTTATAGAGCAATGTTTGATGATGCAACGACGAATAATCCTCCAAGGCAATGCAAGTCCCCACACAGCTCGAAAAACAATTTAGTTTTTAAAGCAAGAAAACATCCAATTGTTGGACCATCCTCCATACAGTCCTGACCTAAGTCCTAACGACTTTTTTACTTTTCCAGAAATTAAGAATGAACTGCGTGGTCAAAAGTTCCAGTACCCAGAAAATGCAGTCAGCGCCTTCAAAAATGCTATTTTGAAGGTACCAGCAAGCGAGTGGAATAACTGCTTTCAGAAATGGTTCCAGCGCAGCGTGGATAATACTTCGAAAAACAATATGGTTTAAAAGTTATTTACTGTTTTTTCTACCTCAACCCTCGTAATAGAAAATATGTAAATATTTACCTGTTAAGTGATCGTTGTTGCCTAAGATTCTATTGGTTGTATGGTCGGATAGTAATCTGCCACTTGTTTCAGGTATGAGCCGGGTGTCGCCAATTCGGCTTGTCAGTTCTCCTGTTAGTAATCGACTTTGATCCAAAAGCCTATGATTTGGTTGTAGTGTATGATCAGTAAGTAATCTAAAAATGAAATGTTTGAATAATTCATGGACAATACAGTCTGTTCAATTTTCCTGGTTGCTACCCAATTAATAAATTTCGCAATTAATGAGACAATAATAATTACAAACAAATCTTATTATATTTAACTGCATTTATTGTTTTTTATAAGTATTCTCTAAAATACACATAAAGTTTGCAAAAAAAAACACGAAAAAGGCGTTTGATGCGTCACGCATCCGTGCTATGACCAAAAAACATGTTTTGTATTAAGCATTTTTTTTCTTAATTTCTTTTTGTTCTACCCATTATTATATTCTATGGCAACCATTAAATAAAAAAAAAAAGAAATGAGAGTTAAATAATAGTTGTATAACAGTGACAGTTGTCTCCATTTTAATTTGCAGAAATTGTAGTTTCTCTAATGCAATATTAATAATAGCCTTTCCACATACTCTGCAAGCCACCATGACTGGAAGCTAACTCGTAAGAGATGCAAAATGATGACAAATATGAAAACTATATTATAAATTATTTTATTCAAAAAAATAATTATATTATTATATTGATTATTTAATTAATTACTTAGTTTGCCAATTTTTGCTTAACCTGCATTGATTTTCATTGCACGACATTTTCATTAGTCCTTTTTATTCAAAGCTTATAACCAAATATTTTAAAACAAAGGATTCTATCCCGAAAGGTCAATTATTTAACTAGCTTGCTAACTTAAATTGAAGAGAAACTAACCCATTTAATTTAATAAGTAACCAATAAGTCCTAGTAAATATTATGTGCCATGTAGTTCCAAAATATTAAATCTTAGAAAATAGATTTTTTGATTAATTATTATTATTTTATTTTTTAATGAAAACAATTAATGCACTTGTTAATATGCTAATATCAACACAAAATATAGTACCTCGTATTTGCTATCGGATGTAAAGGGTGACTCCTAAGACTTAAATCCACGCTGTGTCGTCCTGGTGGCGTTAAGTCTAACGAAACTACCCTCATTAGATCGTATGGTGGGGGTGGGGGAGTATAATTTAAACGCAAATCTACTCTATCGACTTCTGGATATAAATGATGGTAACGATTGATGTTTGAGTAGTTGTGAAAACTCCTTGCTGACATATCTAAACCCTAAGACACACATTAAAAAATAAATTTGGATAAACACGCTGTATCTTAAATTAAATCAGAATAAGAGTTAAAACACAGATTAATATTGTGGTTAAAATGTACCAAAATACTCTGGTATAGGCTTGGTGCATTTCAACCGACGTTTTAAAATTCCGACAGCAGCGCTCGGTACGGCAGGAATCAGAACTGTCCGGCTAACTTTATTACACACCGTCCAGGTTACCATGATTTGCAATGTACATGTACGTTGTTGCATGTACGCACTGAATCATTATTTAAATCATATAATAAGTCATAATATATATCATATAGATAGTCATAATATATCGTCATTAGTTTTTACTACCGCAGTTATTAAAACTATAAAATTCTCAGGTACCAAGTTTGTGTGTTTCGGGTAGTAAAAATTAAGTGAAAAAGAAACCAGACTAGACGACGCGTTGTGTTGTGTTGTGACAATTTCAAAAGATAATAAAATTATAATATAATCAAGTAATTGTCCGGCCAAATTATCGTCGGTAGTGCCAGTTACGATTCTTGTTTTTATGAAAGGTAAATTGTGCATCTGGTTCGTTCAAATGAACGAATCGTAGGAGTCGATTCAATATGAGAAATTGAATCGTGTGATTCGATTCACTAAAAAGAATAGTGATATCCATCACTACACAGTTATATTCCATCTAGCAAAATCGGTGCGTAAAGCTATGTAATAACGTAGGTGAAGCAGCCCGCATGTTATTACTAATTTAAAAAGATTTACCTTTTTTTAATTTTTCTCGAATTGCACTTACTAATAATATTCAAATAATATTATAACAAATTTAACTCGTGTATTTGTATAACTCGGTTGTTTACGGGATTCTCCCATGGTGGCAGCACGCGGAGAATGCACCAAGCCTATAAAAAAGCACGTGACTTACCTGCAGCTCGGACGAGTTGAGAACTAACGGCTCAAAGTTTCTATCCGGTCTAAAATCGGTTTCTACCGTTGTTCGATTCTCCAAAGTGTCTATGAGATCATAACTCTTATTCCTAAATTCTAAATCAGAACCAGTGTCGTAGGCTCCGCGTTGACGAAGTAACTCAGTCTCTATATTATTTTCATAATTCTTCAGTCTGAAAAAATATGGTAATCTCAAAACGATTTCCGATGCACGTGATCAACTTTGAGTGACAAGCGATGGCGACAGCGCTGCCAGATTGTGATGGATTTATCAGATGAATCTTAATTTAAAAGTGACAAACAATATATTAATTATATCATTTTTTTCAAGATTTTTACGGTTTATATTTATATATAAATTTAATAACTAATATTTTAGTAATTAATTGATTTATATGTTTTATAGCTTATTTTACTTATTACGTATTGGCAAAAACTAGTCCATTATGAAGATTATTCTAAGTGTTATTATGGGTTATTTATTTATTGATGTACATCTTACAACGCCATAAGTGGTAATAACAAGTAAGAGGGTGTTATTAATTCACAAACTAATAATCACAGAATTTAATAAAAACTAACGTAGAAATAACTTTGAAAGTGGTGCAATGTGCTTATTAATCAAACTTACTTCTCTGACTGCAGTCAAGGGTAATAAAGGATATTTATTGTCACGTTCTCATTCAAAATAGTTTATCAGGGAAACTACAAGCTCTTTGCTTCGACTATTTAAATGCTTCGGCATATTTTCAACACACAATTGCAAGAAATGCAATACAAAAACTCGAAAATTTAGTTCTTAAAAGAACTGTTTGTGCTTTTAAAGTATTTTTTTAAAAGACTATGAAAATAGGCAAAAAAATGAGAATTACCCACAAAGATTCAACAACACGATATTATAGAAAATAATGACTGACATTAGGATAATTATTGTCAAATAATAAACGACAACCTTGCTGAAAACGGCGCAATGTGACTAACATAGCGATAATAAAATTCGGTTTAAACTAATTTTTGCAGCTTTAATCTAAATAAAATATGTTACAATCATTTGCTCTATAAAAGTTAAATAAAGAGCTGCTCGGTATCCTAAATTATACAACAAATTTATTAATTATTAACATTTTTGTCAATATTTCATTTAGTCAGGTTTATAGATTTTAGTGTCAATGTCTATATGATTGATGACGTGCATCGGAAAATGTTTTGCGATTACAATAGTTATAATTTCATTTCATCACTGTTTTTCAACAAGTTTTCTCATTTTAGTGTCATTTGTGCGTTCTAAAATTCAATAAAGCATTTAAGAGGATATTTTGTTTCCTTGAACGTAAGAAAAATACATGAAAATAATAGAAGTCTTAGTATAAATGCTTACAAAAATATGACCGCCGTAAAATATACACAGCTGCAAAACAAACATATTACGAAGGTAGCTTGTATGGAATACATGTTTTTAGCATATCTTTATCTAAATAATCAATTTTCATATAATTTTATGCTACCTTATTTTTTGCATTTTTATCTCAACTTTATAAAAAATAATCAAAATTTAACATTTGAAATTTACAATAATGGAAAGTATTACATACAGGGTGGTGCCTCTCAAACGCCGCGGAGGCTCCAAGGAGAACGACAGTTTGTATTGAAATTAAATTTTGTGAGCATATGTAGGTTAATTCAGAGCACTTTTTAAAAATATAGAGAGTTCTACGGGTGTCCCCAAAAAAAGTTACATATCAAAGTTGTGTTTTTTGTAATGGAACACCCTATATATTAATTGATTTTCGGATTCTGGGAGAAAAATAAAGGTGAGTTTTATAAGAGAATTATATGACTAAAATGTAAGGTTTTTAACATATTTAACATTTTCTAGAAATAAAGAACACTTTTTAAATTACAATAAAAGCTACCTAAATTGGAATTTACCCGATATAGTCTATATGTAGTTAAATTAACTATTGTACTTTAAATCAAATTAAAACTTGATCCAAAAAGTTATACAAGATGAGACAAAATTAATACTGAACATTGGTCACCTTTTAAAGCATGTTACTCTTTTATTTTAAATGGACCCAGTATATTACTCCGATATTCAATGGAGAATTCATGTCTCTTCAAAATACTATTAAGGTTGCCTACCCCTCAAACAAAGATTTTCATTGATATTTTCATTTACATGATTTGATCTGGGTAGATCTTTATTATTTGATAAAATCTAGATGGCTGTGATATGTCTGACGTTACTTCAACATATCTGTCTAATTAGTCCAACTTTAACAACTAGTTATCATTGTGTGTCAGTTAAAACAAAAAATTTTCTCAGAAATTTGCTGAAAATGCAAACTTATCCTACATCAGAGAGAATTGATATGATTCTATTAGTTGGTGAATGCTTGGTGATGAGTGTTCCATTAGAAAAAACGCAACTTTGATGTGTAACTTTTTTTGGGGACACCCTGTATAATTCTATATATTTTATAAAATGCTTTCAGTTGACCTATATATGTTGCCAAAATTTCATTTCGATATAAACTACCATTCTCTTTGGAGCTTCCGCAGCGGCGTATGAGATGTCCGAACCTGTATACACCGAGTGAAAAAAATATACAGGGTGTTCCTTAATGACAAGCTAATATTTATTCCTGAACATATTCTAAGAAAAAAACTTCATATGAATGTGTCCTAAACGTCTAAACTTTTGAGATACAGGGTGGTAAATTTTTCTAAAGAAAACCCATTTTTCATAATAACTCCGATGTTATTATAGATATCTTTATGAAATTTGGTACACTTTTTCTATGCATCAAAATGTCTATTTTGATGTACAAACAATTTCATTATTTCTATCAGTGGCGTCCATACAGAAGTTGAATTAAATATTTTTGAAGGAAAAAATGGTGCGCCACTGACTCTCTTAGCATAAAAATTACTTTCAAAATCCTCATTCATTTCTAAACAACTTTCATCTTCTCTTCAAACCAAGTCATTTTACTTCAAGGTCAAATCGTTAAAAATCTGAGGCGGTGATTGTTGTGTGGGTATCATTTTTCCATCGGCTGGATGGAAATTAAGAGATACAATAAAAAAAGTTGCACTCCAAAAAAAACAGTTTTATGCATAGAAGACCGTGTATGAAATTTCATAAAAATAATTATAACGACCTCAGAGTTATTATGAAAAAAAAAAGTGTTTTTTGGAAAATTTTACCACCCTGCATCTCAAAAGTTAAGATGTTTAGGACATAGATTCACATGAAGTTTTTTCTTAAAATAGGCCCAAGAATCACCCCACTTAAATATTAACATGTCATTAAGGAACACCCTGTATATTTCCTTGGCATATTTTATGTAAACAAAGTCTCTTGATAAAATCGCTACGAGTAATAGCCTCTCAGGGTATTTGGAATCGAAATAATCCATACAATATCACTAGATTAAACTGAAACTTGAAATGTTTTTGTGCCAAAGATTCAACAGAAACTGTTTTATCATAATTTTCGCTAGACAAATTAATGATTAATTTTAAAAAATAAGAAGTTCCCAAATTTATTATTTCAGTCAAATAACTAATGTTATTTTTGTCAATAATGACATGTATTGATTATTTCCATTCCAAATATGTATACTCAGTTTTTTTTCTCGGGTAAGATTTCGACAGACAATGACAGAAGAAAAGCAGATGACGTCCATACCAATCTATTTATTTTTCTAAAAAAAAGTTTCTAATATTTTTTAAGTTAACTATGGATGGACTTAAATACAAATCCGTCAGGCGTCGTCTCTTGTTATTCTTAACCAGTTTTATTGGTTTATTTCAAAAATGACAGATCATATTTCAATTTTATTGGTTTGACGGAACGATGAACGACAAACGGATGCCGACGCGTATGAACTCGCCTTTAAATTTTTGAGGATTGTCAAAGTCTTGCCAAGTTATAGGTTATAATTTTGTGTCAACTTATGTCAAATACCCTGCGTTTTGGAAGATGATTTTTTTGGTTCGTGTTATTACGTGTGAAAATCGAGGGAAAATTAACTGTAGACCCAGAGCACAGTTTATAGTTACTCGGTGCCCAGGCGGAAAGTTACCATCAATAAAGTTTGTATACCATCTCGTCATAGATAAGTGCATCTCGTATATGGTACAAGGATCGTACTAGTGATGGGAATAATCGAATTATTTTCACCATTGAATAATTAGTAATAATTCATATTTCACAATCGAATTAATAATTCGAATTATTTAGTAGTATTATAAATTTAACCTAAAAATAAATTCCAGCTAGTGCTCGTCTAGGGGCTATTTTAAACAAATCTGAACCAGTGCCATACCTATATTCTCTCACTGAATAAAAAATTAAAAAAAAATATTCTTTATTCAATGTATTCTATTAACTGTGCCGAAGCCGTTTAATAAATTAAACCATAATTTAAAGTTTTAAATTTAAAAGTGCCGAGTTTATGATTGTTTCAATTCCTATTGAAAAGCTCATATCTAAAATAAAAGCTTCTTCTAAAACGATATAAATATGTCCTTGTTTACGTGCGGTTCGTATTTCTTTTTATTTTATCAGTTGCAATCAATAATTATTTAGATAAAAGAAGAAAATTAATTTTAGTGTTCGGCAGGTGTTCGGTGAAATTTGGGTGAGATGGAAATGAACCAAATAATAGTAGTATTCTTTCGTTCTGAACGAAATCAAAATTTTCACTTAAACTGATTTATTCCTACGTGGTATAGGAAATAACAATGATTTCTGGATTTTTCTATATCGGATCGTTCCTTTCTTTGTCGATTCCCTTTATAAATCAGTTTAAGTGAAAATTTTCAGTTCGTTCCGAACGAAAGAATACTACTAATAGTACTATACTAATTACTAATATTCGTATTCGTCCATAAGAGGTTATGTTATATGTTCATTTGTAATTCGGTTACCACAGATATAATATAAAATACTACTAATTTTTATCTCGATTATATCGAAAAAGATAATTCGAATTAGTTAGTTTTAATTTACTATCGAATTAGTCGTATTATTTAATTCGAATTTTCCCAACACTAGATCGTACTAAACATATACTAAAAACTGGAGTAGCTGTAAAATATAGACATCACACGATAGTTAAATAATGGATTTTAATACTGCAGAAAAATAATGTCAAAAGGTACACTGGTTTTAAAAGAATTAAGATTAAACTTAATTAATCAACCTTTAAGGTATAAAATTTGGTAAGTATTATTATTAATAAAATAGTTTGTTTTATTTATGTTGTTTTTTTATTCCTGTGGAATATTTTGAAAACTACTTTTGGAAACTACTTTGAAATTAAAATGACAGAGACATCTATCACTGTCAAGGATCTTGTCGTTGGACAGACCAACAACCAATTGTTGGACAGATTTTTACCAAGAGAACTTTTTTATCCAACAAAGAATTTTAGGGTATGAATTTATACAAACTTTTTTACCTATTTTTATCGGTAGATATTGCCGCAGTTATTGTCGCAATCACATAACTTTACACGGTATAATAAATCATCGTATTTTAATGAATATAATAAACCTGTTTATTCCTTTGTCGCACCCTGGATCCATACGTTTTTCATTTTCAAGATTTATTTGATTAGGTTTTAATTAAACTATAGTGTAATAAAAACGATTTGTTTAAATCTGTGTTAAATATAGTTGAAACACCGGACTGTCATGTCAGTAATGTAACAAACCTCAAATCCAGATCTAGTTCAAATTTACTTCTAATCTCAGCCGACAAGTCATCGTGGTATTTATTGCGATCATCTTTCTCTTGTAACCCGTTCGACATATCTTGCACAATGTCAACTTCAGGTTCTAGAGGATTTAATGCGTTACTGGTGGTCCCAACTAAAACATCTATGAATATTATAAAAATAAAAACATTCTTATAGTTTAATAAAATTACTTTCTCCATCAAACTTCATTCTTCGTAAATATTCTGGAGTTTTGTAAGGAGTCTTGTACATTGATAAATCTAGTTGAATATCGTTTTTGGCGGCGTGCAGGCTTAGATTTTGAGCAGCCATTCCGTTACTCTCATCGGAAGACAAATTTTCAGGATTAATATTGTGGCCAAAACCATAGCGCGGTGGACTTGGTCCTGGGGATGGATTTTTATTGCCTCCTGAGGAATGTAATAAATTAGATTCAACAAAACACACTTCAATCAATAAAAAAACAGGCAAGTTACAGGTAACTGTCTAGTTAAAAACCAAGTAAAAACAGAGCAAAAAACAAGATAAGGCCAAGGACCCAAGATATACAAATCAAATATAAAGAGAAAGATCCTAGATTGCACTTTTTGATATAAAAAAAATATTAGCGAAGATCGTATATGATTACTATTATTTTTATCTACCCCAATGACTAAAGAATCCAAGGACATGTAATGCCCATATACGGGCTGCAGCAGAATTTGTTACGTTAGACGCCATCATTTTGGGGCCTACGGATGAGTCACCACCTCGTCAACAGCGACAATTTTGTATAAACTTTATTACAATGGTGACGTGTTCACCTTTCAAGTGTAAAAGCCGCAAGGATAAGAAAGAGCCAGGAGTTGCCTTTCATAAAAAAATAAACAGTCCACTCCACCTTTTTAGCGTTTTCTTATTGAATTTGGTAATTATTTTTCTGATATTATATGTACTTGATATGTGCTGTAGGTTGATACTAGTTTTATACATTTTGTTAACATTTTAATACGTTTTATTCGTAATTAGTATGATAACACCGTCTACACCATCGCCGTAGTCAAATCATTTATCGAAAATATAAATATATCTTCAAACAGCTAAGTTAAGAAAAATATATGGCCACGGCACTGTTTGGAGCCATGGTAACAATTTGGTCTCGGGTGTTATATGTCCTTGTATTCTTTAGTCACTGATCTACCCCCAGATATATAACATTTATTTGTTTCTCTATTAATAATTCATAGTAGCATAACTCTATTCAAAAATTTCCAGATTTAAAAATTAGTATTTTTTGTAAAAAATCTATGCTTGGACTATAGCCTACTGACAACTCTCGGCTTTGGATCTGGATTTTCGTATGTCAGAAGAGTACAATGCATTTTAATATTATAATGTACTGAACAAAGGGTAATAACATTACCAAACGTGTGAAATAAACTATGCACATTGTTAAGAGACGTGGAAGGGGATATGGAAGCTTCGTCGCGGTCGCGCAGCATAAAAATCATAAAATTGAAATCAGAGACATTTAAATTCAGTATTTAGAATTCTAGGGAAGGGTGTACAACATTCGTTCAGCATCCCAACTAAATAACTGCCCACATGTAAATATCGATCCAAGAACAAGACTTGCCAACAGGGTATTTTTAACAAAATAGGATAACAATTATGTGCGATGGAACATATAAAAGTGCATGAATTGTAAAAGTTCATTAAAATTTATTTGTATTTTTTAAGAAATACAGTATCTTAATTGACAACATAATGATTCTGAAATGTCAAAATACCGCATGGCGTTGTTATAATTTGCATAAACGCTTATTGTGACAATTTAACTGTCAAAGTTGTCAAAATAACGCCTACTTTAATACTGCAAATCGTCACCATATCTCGATTATTTACAATAGAATTCATTTAACAGCCTAGGCATTAAATGACGTGGAAAAATTTCAAGGTATCACTTTTAATTTATTTAAAGTTCGGTTCTATTTGTATTAACATTGTATCTTTTTTCATAAAAACTCTACATATAATTGTTTCAGAACTTTGTGTACAGTATAATGCAAATACTTTAAGCCACAAAGACAAAATTCATAACTAGAAATAATTGATTATTTTTACCTTCATAACCGTTGTTTGCAGGCGACAAACTATTGATGTAATTCTTCACAAAGTTCGCTCTCTGAATACTAGTAGGACTATTTTCTGGACTAAAACCATCCTGATGGAAATTCGAATAATCCAGTCCGATATTTTGGTTTTGCTGTAATTCGTTATCCAACTCGTCCGTTACCGAAATGTGATCGTTTACAGATGGCGACATTAGGCTTATATCACGCGACTCTTCCAGGCTGTAGTTCACTTCCGGTAAATCGTTGTGTTGGGTTAACGAATAGAGATTATTGACCAAGGTATCGTGGCAGTTCGAAGCCCCGCTAACATCGATGTCAATCCTGGGTTCATTGCAGACCGAATCCAATGCTGCCTCCACCAGTAAACTGGCGTTCGACGGTTCGTGTCTAGTGAATTCGGCCAAATTAGACAGTTTGCGATCGTACAAGTTGTTATCTTCTATAGTTAAATCGTCTTTACTCAGTCTTTCAATGGTATAGAAATCTGACGCTTTGAGAGTTTGAAGCTGGGGTTCGTCTGCTATCCATTTTTTAGATCCTACAAATTATTCATTGGAATAAATAAGATGTGTTTACCTTACACCTCCGGTAGAAAGGGTTTTTTGATTATACAGGGTGATCCGAATTGTAATCGGAAAATCATGACAACATATTCTGCAGATGAAAATAAGTAAAAAAGTTCTTATAAAATCATCTCCTAAAATGCTTCGTTTTGGAGATATGATGAGATGTAGATGTTTCATTTTTATTTCGGAGTTTTTAAGTAATTTCTGAACTAACGTCCATATTTAAAACTCTGGATCAGGGAAAAGCAGACTGGAGAAATAGACAGGGGCACAGGCACAGCAAGGCTTTTATCCAAGGACCTAGCTCTAAAACCGCAAAAGAACTGCTAATACTTAGCAGGAATAAATTGCGGATTACAACAGGCCTCTTGACAGGACACATGGCTGTCAAGTGTTACCTGAACAAGCTCAACCTGTATCAAGGAAGTCTTTGCTGCCTTTGAATAAGAAGACTAAGGAAGGAGCATATTAAAAATCTTAGGTACACCGCGATGGACCTCAAATATGGCCGACTTAAATTCCGGTTTATCAGTGCCGTTCTAATTTTATTTAAAAAATGTAAAACTATGATGTAGGGTAGACATGGGGTAGACTCAATAATGTGTTATTTTATTTTACATTGTGAATAAATGCTGGTAGTTATTAAAATTGTTATAAAAATATATAATTCTAATAAAAATAGATAAATTATAATAAGTATTTATTAACACAAACATCCGATACGCTACTGAAGCAGGTAAGTCAAATTAACGTATCAGAATTCTTTGACATCTGATCTTTGACAAGTATACTGACAAGTAGTATAAATAAAAGCTAAAATGCAAGAAAATATATAATTTAGTTAATTTAAGTGAATTTCATAAATGATCGGTTTACTACATGTATGTATATTATATAGTCACTTACTAGCGAAAAGTTGTTTCACTCAATTTTTTCGGAGATCTACCGCACGCTACACAACCAACTATTTTAGAGTCTTTTTCGATAAATCGCGATAATGTCACTGTTAATTTAAGTTCTGCCACAATTTCCATCTAGATTTACTACCTTTATACAACTATCAGTAGTAGAATAAATAATAAATAACATAAAATAAGCTCCGTAAAGACTGACAAATCCACAAAATTTCAAATCAAATTCAAATGTGTCAAATGAATCGTCAAACAGAACTGTCAAGGATCCCCACCCTATAGAGCTTTTTCCGCCCACCATGCATGAATACATGGATAGCATTATGCTCCTTCCTTAGTCTTCTTATTCAAAGTTTGCTGCAGACTCTGCAATAAAGATCCTGAAAGAGCGGAGCACATAATATGTCACTGCGAGGCTCTGGATCGCAAGCGACACTTTTTATTTGGGAAAGCTAGGCTAGAACCAGAGGAACAATGCTCCCATCCTATCAAGCTGCATAAGTTAGTGCAGGGCACAGGGATAGGAGAATGGGTGCAGATATAGAAAGGGGACAAACACAATAGGCCACACAGGTCGCAGTGTTTCCAGCAGAGGACGGCCCCTTGTTGTGAAAAAAAACGTCCATATTTGGATAAAAATTGGTGTCTGGGTGTTTTTTGAGAGATTTGATTTTTAGGTGTCAATGTGACTCGTATGTATCGGGGACGCCACCTACGTATTTTTTACTGTTTTGAAGAGTAATAATTTTTTGTCCGTACCTGTATAAAACTACTAAGTAAATAAATATACATTTGAAGATTTAAAGTAAATAATGTTCTTGAGTGCCAAAAATCGATTTTACATGTTTTATTAAATTTGTAAAATGTCCTAACGTCCATAACCAACAACATACTATACTACAAAGCTCTAAGTGTCACAGCGTTAATTGACGAAATAAGAAGATGCGCAACCTTATGGGCGATTTCGTGGCACAAAACCTGTCCGAGATGTAGCTGGTGTTACCGTCAGCCTGTCCGAGAATTCCAAGATTTAGTTTAGCTCTGCGCCGTTGCGCGCTGATCGTCGTTTACAGATAAAGAATACTGTACCGTAGTTCTGCTTTTAGTCGACAGAGTAAGTGGTTGCCGGAGACAGTGTTGCCAGAACTACTGATTAATCCGTACGGATTTACGGATTTTGGGTATAGTACGTTAATAATACGGATTTTCTATCGTTAAACAATTTAATATAATATTATATGATTAAACAAAGAACGGCTTCAGAGCTGGCTTGGAAATGAAGATCGTTGTTCTTTCATATGTAAAATATTATGGTAAATGTCAATAATCGTTATTTCCAAGCCAACTAGACGACTTTTTTTCGATCATACGACATATTTAATACAATAATATTTTTTAACATGGCAACACTGTCGCTTTCAGATCCACACTGTCCTCGATATGCCTTCGCTGGCCGAGTTAGAGAAAATACGTGTTTTACGCATTGACCGCAGAACAATTGCTGTCTCCACCATACAGCACTTGACACGTAAGTGGAAATCAAATCAGCCTTGTTACGAATTCGCCCATAAGGTTGCGTATCTTCCCAATTCTTTCAATCAACGGTCACGGCTATTAATTGTAATAAAAAAAATTCTTAACAGACACCGCCCGTTCTTATATATTGGTTATGTAACAAAAAATGTTTATCTCGATAATAATTATTATGGCACTTAGAACATTATTTACTTCAGGTCTTCATAAGTTATGTAATTTTTTACGTAAAAAAGGGGTTTTGGTAAAAATCGCTACGAGTAAGTAGCGATTCTCACTGTAACGTCTCGTCTCCCGTTACCGTCACATCGAGACAGAAAGCATGAAGTAAATGGGAGGTGGACGTTGCCACAACGTGACAGCGACGTTACGGGTAGTGTGAATATGTTCACTGTTGGCCATTTAAAAACATTTACCATGGTTGCCGTTGTGACAAAGGTTCAACAAAAACTGTTTTATCACAATTAGTTCTAGAAAAAATTATGATTAATTTAAAAAAAATAAGAACTTCCCAAATTTACCATATAAGTCAAGTAATTGTCTAGTCAACACATGTTTATTTGTTGTCAATAATTAAAATAATAATAATAATTAATGTATTGACTATTTCCATCCCAAATATCTTGAGAACGATTGCTCATAGCCATTTATACCGAGAGCCCAAAAGACCTTTTTGACGTAAAAAATGACGGAAATGTGTATCTTTTTACTGAGTAGTGTTATTTATTAGCACGAAGTCATTACTCTTCAAAATAGTAAAAAAACATGTAGCTTGCGCCCTCCACAAGTAGAAGTCATATTGACATCAAAATCAAATTCCTCATGTCAAAAAACACGCAAACAACGATATTTTCATCCTTTGACTACAGTTCAGAAATTATTTGAAAAAAAAAACGAAATAAAAATGAAACTTCTACATCCTGTATCTCCGAAACTAAACATTTTAAGACATACATTTACAAACTTTTTTACTTATTTTCATCTGCAGAATATGATGCCGAAGTTTCCCGAATTCAATTCGGACCACCCTGTATATAAAGATAATTAAAAAAATATATATTTTGCATTTCTAAGAATAAACAAAAATAAAAAAAGAATAATATTGAGAACAAAAGAAAACGCATAAGTATATTGCAATTTAAACTAAATAAAAATGAAAAAAAAGGAATATATAATTATATCTTTATATTTACCTTTACTGACTATTTTAACAGTAGATGGTTGATTTGATAATTCACTGACATTATATGAATCAATTTGAGATGTTTCTGGTTGGTTTGGGGACGACAAATCTGGGGGTTGAGTAGGAGGAGGTGGAGGAGGAGGCGGTGATTCGGGAAGATCAAGTGGAGATTGTAATGCTGGCGGATCATCCATTCCCTTACTGTCCAAACCTAGAACAAACAAATTTCACGACAAAAATAATACAAAACACCAAATTTGTTGGGTTTTACTAAATATATTTTATTTTACGGGAATATTTCGATAGACGACGACAGAAAAAAGGCAGATGACGTCCATACGAATCCATTTATTTCACTAAAAAAAGTTTCTAACATTTTTTAAGTAAACTATATGGAACAGTTTATATATAGGGCGAGTCAAAAACTTAACTTAAATAAATGCAAATATTTTTAGGGGTGGTATATTTCGACACCAGGAACATGTAAGACAGAAAAAAATCCGGTGGCTCTCAATTTTTTTTAAAATAAATCAATTTTTTTTTTAATTTTCAAACTTGAATATCTGGATTATTTTGGACTTATTTGAAAAACGGTCAAGAAAAAATATGTTTCTTTCATCGAGATCTGCCAGCTCTGAAATATTTGCACTTATTTGACTCACCCTGTATAAATCCGTCATGCTCTCTTGTTGTTTTTAACCAATCATATTGATTTATTTCAAAAATTACATATTTTGACTATTTCATTACAAGTTTGGAGTGACGGAACAATGAACGACGCACTGAGGCAGATCTGTATGAACTCGACTTAAGATTTTTGAGATTTGTCAAACTATTTCCAAATTATAGGACATTATTTGTGTCAAGAAACCAACGTTCTGGAAAATGATAAATATTTGCGAATTGCTGTTGCATTTTGGTTTGTTATTACTTGTGGTTTGTGTTTATTAAGTTAGTGCAGGAAAAATTGATGAAAAATTAAGTGTAGACCCAGAGCGCAGTTCTAAAAATAAAGTTTGTATACCATCTCGGATATGGCACTAAAAACTTGAGTAGCTGTAAAATAAATACATCACAGGAAAAGTAAATAATAATAGATTTTAGTACTGAATAGAGAAAGTAAGTGTGACAGTAAGTGTTTGTAAATTACTGAAATTATAAATAAAATATTTTGTTTTATTTATGTTGTTTTATTTATTCCTGTGTAAATATTAAAACTTTATTATTTGTACAGAAGTTATATTGATAAATATAATAATAAAAGCAGGAAGTTTGAAAGTAAGAAATAGTTTTTTATAGATTTTTTATATGTGGTGTTTTGTTTAATATACACCCTTGTTTGTTTTGTATTAACACACACTGTTATTTTTTAAATAAAATAACTCAATTAGATTTTTTCAGTTTTATACAGTTTCTTTTCATAAAATTTTTAAGTAGGTAATCATTTGTCACTAAAATTTGAAATATATTAATATCCTGCTTTGCAATTTTACCAACTTATTTCCTTGTAAAATAAACTACTTTGAAATTAAAGTGACAGACATATCTTCCACTGTCAAGGATTTTGTCGTCGGACAGACTATACTCACTAGCATCATCCAAATCAGTATCATCGTCGTTGTCATCATTCATTTGCTCATTATGTTCCCTATTACTTTCCGAGTAATCTAGATCATCAATCATTTGACTTTCAAGTCCGCTATATGCTTTGAATGTATAATCAACACTGCGTTTAATTTTAGGCATATTTTCCTCTGTATAATTATGGCCTTTTTTATAATGGAACTGTAAACACTGTTTGGTAGTAAAGGCTGCATTACAATTGTCCTCCGTACATCTAAAAAAAGTTAACTATCAGTAAAAGCCATTCAAAATTAAACTTAAATTGCAATAACAAGTGTCCATAAGGTTTTTAATAATTTACTGGTGTTTAATTTAAAATAATTAACTCAGGTAGAGTTAAATGAAAACTATTTACGATGCACGTTATACCTTTCTACAACCAAAATCTGAGATATATTTTGTACATAATTTACCTACTTAATACCAAATATAATCAAATGTATAATATAAAATATATATACCAATAATAATCAAAAACAGTTTAACATACATATTTGGTCACCGTAGAAGCGTGGTCTGGATTTTATCGTGTGATGGAGACAGCGTAATGAAAAATCAAATGTATTAAAAAGAGAAAAAAGTAGGGTTGATGGATTTCTTTTATGCGGTATTGCTGGATTTCGCATCAAAGTTTCAGACCGCCCAAGTAAGAATTTACGAAAAGTGTTGCATCTAGCGTTGGATCTTTATTTTCTCAATTGCTTACTCATTTTACTACAGCTGTAATAGACTGATATTAAAACTCGGTCTCAGAACTACGTTGTGCCGCTGGCAAAGTTTTCAAGCAACTGTCTTAACAGAATTGGGTATTATTAAATAGCTATATATATGTTATCTTCTTTTATGTTATTTCACTTACAAACCGGCAACACCGTATGCCCCTTTTTATTTTATCTGTCTGTCAACTGGTCGTATATAGTTTTCTCTATTGTATGCATTAAAATACAGACGACGGAAATAAAGTGATCAGAGCCATATGTTAAAGGCAGACAATCAAAGACATCTTGTCTTTTTTCATTGCATTACACGTGCTCTCAATTTTATCATTCACTTAGAAACTACCATATGATCGAAAATAACGGCGTCCAGTTGGCTTCGAAATAACGATCGATGATATTTCCCACATAATTTTGAATATAAAATGACAGCGATCTTCGTTTCATAGCCATCGCTGACGCCATTTTTTTCGATCGTATGGTACCTTCTAGAAATTATTTCTTAGTAATCCATCCTAAACTAATGTATTTCATAATTATATTTAAAAAAAATTCTATGGATATGCACTGGATTCGCATATAAAATAGACAGGTATACTTACTTAAAAGGCTTTATGCCACTGTGAGTCAACATATGAATTTTCAAGTTAGATTTATTTTGAAAATGTTTTCCACACCTAGCACAAGAACATGTACCGTCACCTTGTTTTTGATGTACCTCTTTCTCATGCCTCTGTAAAGCAGCCCTAGACCCTAATATTTTCATACAATTTTTACACTGAAATTCCTTTAATACTTCTGTCATACCTAAAATATTTGACAAGTTAAAAGATCTACAGAGACGTGTTGTGTTTAATAATCCCCAATAAGATAAATATAATTACAATCTTTGGTAATTGCCTTTATGTACGATTAAAATATTTTGAATCTGCTTTGTGAAGGAATTAATAAACGATAATAAATTACCCAGCAAACTGATTTTAGGCCAACTACTGTTATTCCTAACTAGATCTGTCCGACGAAAAAAGAGACGAGATAATGACGACGAAAAAAGTGAGAGAAAATTAGGTTGATTTAGACAGATCGAATATGTCGATTTTCCTTTACTTATAAACCAAATTTCAGCTTGCCGAATTTATAATATAAGTAATGCTTATTCAAGATCATGTTTTTGTTAATTTTACACATATTTCATTTTTTATCTCGGAAACAACTAGAGATATGTAGGTATATGTTATTATAACGAAACATTATGAGATATGAAAGTAGTTTAAAAAATGTAATAATATACCGAGTATTCCATTTAAATATCAATGACACTATCACTTTTAGTATGAAGAGGCAACACTGTAAAGCTGTAAATAATTTAGACAAATGGAGCAGGTGCCTTTATACCATTATACCATGATAAATAAATTAAAAACCTTAAAATTACTAAACACCACACTCTAAATATGTAAGAAGAAAATTTGTAAAATAGACTAAGGTAATATTTTACATTATGCGGATTTGATTGTGAAAAATACATACTGCTGTGCATCCTTTTAATGTGGACTTTCAATTTTTGAGGCTGACAAAACTTCCTCCCACAAAAATCACATAGTGGTCTAGCTCTGTGGGGATTCGCCGAACAACCATATGTACGGTGCATTTCAAGGTAATTAAGTCTCAAAAAGAACTAAAACAAATGTAGGTTTTGGTAGTATCTGGTCAACGTTTAAGTTAAATATTATGGACTGCTAGCTGCAGTGTCTCGTTTGCTATCGAAGGATTTTTGGACTTGCCTAAACTTGAATAAACGGATTTTGAACATTAAACATTCACAGATAAACTACAATTAATAGTAAAAAAAATTATATCCAAAAAATTAAAAATTGTTTTGTCTCGAAAATTTATTTGGTTAACAAGGTCATGTTTTGTTAGTCATATCACAGATTATACAGATTATAAATTTATCGTCAAAAGCAGTGTTTTTTTCGTGGTTCCAATTTTCGGAGTCGCGCACTAGTTAGGTTACTAGTTTGCGCACAAGCACGCCCACTTATGGCCTCTAAGATTGTGCACAGCGCCTGACCAGCCTTGTGACCAGCAGAGTTATTACGCTCTTTAAACGGGAATTTATTTTTGCGCACAAGAAAATTTACTCGTTTGCTCATCGTCAAAAAACAATTTTCGTACCATGAATTAGGGACAAGATTTTTATCTGTATACTTATAGGATACCTAATCTGTGGTCATATTTACTTCTTGAAAATGAAACATGTTTTTGGAATATAGTCCATTGAAAATAAACTTCTCCAAAACATGAATTGCATTACATATGTAAGTATCTAAAAATTGCTTGCCGTACAGTCTTCCAGTACTGAATTAAAGACTGATATCGGGACTGATATATAGACTGATATGGGAAAAAATAATTTTTTGAAAATAGATTTGTGTGTCTAGAAATTTTCTATCCTTTTTTAATCTTTCTATAATTAGTGGTACTTCTGACAAGTTTTATGTCATTTTTTAGTAAACTGACATAAAACTTGTCAAAAGTAACACTAATAATTATAGAAAGATTAATAAAGGATAGAACATTTCCAGACACACAAATCAATTTCCAAAAAAATATTTTTCCCAAATTTTAAACTACTCCCACTAAAAAGCATTTTTACTCAATACAAAAATAAATTACAACCTGCTTAAGGTCAACTGGCAGCCATTAAAAAATAAAGAAGAGTACGGGCCAAGTAATGAAATGTACGGTTTGACGTCGTCAAAATTATCCTTTTTTTATTTCAATTTTCATTCCCAGGCCGTGTTTGACGCCGTTTGTTTTTTTCGTATTGCATATTCAAAATGTCATATTGAATCCATTGTTTATTATACAACAAATACCTATAGTAAACGCCACGAATGTTTGGGAGTGACTTATCGGTCGCTACCAGGTGAACTAATCTGTTCAAGGTCACATAAAACTTAATTCCAGTGCAGTGGTGTTTCAATAAGTCATTATAATAATCAATATATAATCTGTTGTAATTTGTTGTTTTAACTGTCAAAGTCTTGTCAAAACATATATTTGGTTATAAATATAAAATGGAATGCCCCATTGGTCGCACTGCAAGCACACCAATGGACTGACGCACAAAAACGAATCAATCAAAGAAACGCGATATAGTATCGTCTTTGTCAATCACGCAAATATTTTAGAATAAGTAGGAGGAGCGTAGGCAGATGATTAGACCGGGCCTTTAAAAACTACGTCTGCGGTAAAAATTTACGTTTTTAATGTAAAAATGATAGCGCGCGTGTCGATTCTAACTTCATCAAGCGATGAATCACTCCCAAACATTCGTGGCGTTTACTATACTTTAAATTATTAGTACAGTACGTCTGTCCGTTCTGTAGCTACGGGATATCCGTGAGGATATTCTCTCGATGTTTTTCGTAAAAAATTAGACGACGCTTCCCATCAATAAAAAATCGACAAATTTGCTAGTAGCCAATAAAATGAGTGGGCGGAGCGATTTGCGGTGACGTACTCGTCAAGTCGACGTATAAAATATATTGTTGTTTATTTAAATGTTTTTTGTCTGCCATACTTTGGTGACAAGATTTCGAGGTGACACCAAGCTAATTTATATGTTTTTTGTGAATACTGTTTTGTTTTAAATTTATAAACTGTGTTGTTTAGTATGGTGAGATGTTGAGCGTATGACTGGAAAGGCCGAAGCGAGAAAAAAGTGGCTGGAATTACATTTCACAGGTAAATATCGATACACAACTTTTGTTATGTAGTCATAAAATGTACATTTTTTTCATTTTAGCAGTAAAAATATGTAAAATGCTTTTAATATGTCTTGTATCACATCCAAACCAAACTATTTTTAATCATTCCAAGTAGTATTTTCAATAGCCTGTATTATAATTAATGTTTCAAACTATAAATAATGCCAATCTGATTGAATTCCTCCAGTGGCGTAGGGAATTATAATCAGAGAAATACAATTTCTGCAATAAACATTTTTTATATATTTTACAAGACTACTTGTTACTATACTTTTTTAAATACCCTTTCAAAAAATTTGCTAATTTAGGTGTATAATAATAGTTTCAGTGTGTAACTAATAAAAATTTAAAAATAAATAAAATAACAGAAATCTTCTAGAATTGTTTGTTTTTTTGTGGAAAATTAGGATATTCTTTTATTCTTATGATTGAAGGCAACAAACATAAAAAAATTACATTATTCATTGAATCCGTAAACAATTGTGAAGGGGATTAGCTAGATTCATTATTATACCGTATGATCGAAAAAACGGCGTCCAGTTGGCTTGTAAATGACGATCGATGACATTCCCCATATAATTTTACATATAAAATGACAGCGATTTTCATTTCATAGCCATCGTTGACGCCGTCTTCTTTCGATGTCGTTTTCTATAGTTTTTATGTCATTTTATATGTAGTATTATTTGGGGAATGTCATCGATCATCATTTCCAAACAAACAGGACCCCGCTTTTTTCGATCATACGGTATGTACATACACGTTTAAAACATATATATTTACATTATTTTTTATTTAATTATACATTATACAGACGTTAATAAATAAATAATTGTCTTGATGATCAGTCCACTGTGACTGTTAAATAGATTTTGCATTATCGACTTAGATATTCTAATATTATAAACGTGAGACTATAAAATACAAAATTGTATATGCATTACTCAAAAATGAACGATATATTAGTTTACGTTTTAATAAATATTTTGTATCGTCTAGGTACAAGCTAATTTCTGATGCTACGCCATTGGAGAATTTCGAGTGGTGACAAGTGGCCTCACTTTCAGCTGCCGTGTTACCTGTCACCTCTCTTTCCTTGTCTAAGCTGCCGACACAGTTTGACATTTCAAACAAACCAATCAGATTTGTACAAAATTCAAACAGCTGTCAATTTTAAATTTAGTACAGCTCCCATTGGTTGTTTGAAATGTCAAACTGTGACGCCCGCGGCACGACGTCGTTCTGAGAACGGGGCTTAATTATAATAAACATAAGTATAGTTGCCTACCTTTCTGCAGAATTGGCACTGATAAGCTCCTTGTCCATTATGTAATTCTATTGCATGTTTCATAATATTTTCCTTTCCTAAAACTGCCTCACCACAAATTTTACAATGATATTTTCTTATTGTTAAACTATACCTAATGTCATGAAATACAGAACAATGGGCTCGATAATACAAAGGGTGAGAAAATGTCATATTACAACCGCCACAAACTAAAAATATTTATTAATTAAATATTTTACGTTACGTTATCTACATTCCATGGTCTTACTAGTTTTTCCCATTTTTTTCTTACTGGTAAATGTCGAACTATCTTGCCAGTATAATAATTCATCACCATCATTTAATACCTTAATATTAATAAAATATATATTATTTTCTTTAATAATCACAGTTACATTTCGATCGTCTCGATTTGGAGCTGGTCTAATGAATCGACACCAATTAGATGTTTCCATATCTTCTGTACTAATATAAGTATATCCGTTCTCTAAAAAACAGACGAGAGATTATAAAAAAACGGCAAGTGCAAGTCGGACTCGCCCACTGAGGGTTCTGTACAAATTTATAGGCACATATTATAAATAGTTCTGGAATCGAATCTCACAGTTTTTTCCGAGCTTTTCCCGAAATACAGTTTCCAAAACCTATCATTATTACTTATAGCGGTGATTGAAGAAATAAGAAGATGCGCAGCCTTATGGGCGATTTCGTGGCACAAAACCTGTCCGAGATGTAGCTGGCGTTACCGTCAGCCTGTCCGAGAAATCCGAGATTTAGTTTTGCTCTGCGCCGCTGTTATTTCTTCTATATGTAAATTGTTAAATGTCAATAATCGTCATTTCCAAGCCAAGTAAACGACTTTTTCGACGATACGACATATTCGGTACCTATAAAAGAATTTTTATTTTTATTTTTTATTCTATGTTTAACACGAATAAATTTTCAATACATAAACGGATTTTTCATCCAAAGATATTTTCATCAAACGTATTACAGATATTACACATTTTAATATGGCAACAGGGTCGCTTTCAGATCGACACATGCAGATTTTCATCTTCGACATGCCTTCGTTAGCCGAATTAGAGGAAATATAAGCGTTTTATGCGTTGACCGCATAACGATTGGTGTTTCCACTGTACAGCACTTGAGACATAAAGGGAAACCAAATCAGCTTTGTCACGAATTCGCCCATTAGGTTGCGTATCTTCCCAATTCTTTCAATCAACGCTTATAGTAAATTATGGTTATACTAACATTTCATACCTAAATTAGACGAAAAAATTATGACGAAAATACTTTTGACGAAAAATCCGCGTTTATGTATTGGAAATTTACTCATGTTAAACATAGAATAAACAACAAAAATAAAAATTCTTTTATAGGTACTGAATTTATCGTATGATCGAAAAAAGTCATTTAGTTGGCTTGGAAATGACGATTATTAACATTTACCATAATATTTTACATATGAAATAACAGAAATCTTCATTTCCAAGCCAACTCTGACGCTGTTCTTTGTTTAATCATAAAATATTGTATTAAATAACTGTTTAATAATAGAAAATCCGTATTATTAACGTACTGTACCCAAAATTCGTAAATCCACGGATTAATCAGCAGTTCAGGCAACACTGTCTCCAGCAACCACTCACTCTGTCGACTAAAATCAGAACTAAGGTATAGTATTCTTTATCCGCCGCGCTGTAAACAACTATCAGCGCGCAGCGGCGCAGAGCTAAACTAAATCTCGGGATTCTCGGACAGGTTGACGGTAACGCCAGCTACATCTCGGACAGGTTTTGTGCCACGAAATAGCCCATAAGGTTGCGCATCTTCTTATTTCTTCAATCAACGATATTACCTAATTCATTTTTAATTATTAAGGATAAACACTTCAACCACTTTTATATTATGTTTTCTGTCACTTCAGTGGCCATTCACTTAATTGACGTTTGAATAATCAAAATCGTCTCGTTTTGAATTTGGTAGATGTCATACGTTATACCCACAACTCACAGCTCACTCTCAAAAATTTCACAAATATTTCCACATGGAGAAAGAAATGCTGAAGTATATTCTGAACAAAATTGAAAACTATCAGCGCTCAGCGGCGCAGAGCTAAACTAAATCTGGGGATTCTCGGACAGGCTGACGGTAACACCAGCTACATCTCGGACAGGTTTTGTACCACGCAATCGCCCATAAGGTTGCGCATCTTCTTATTACTTCAATCAACGAATTATTACCTAATTCAATTTTCAAGTACAAACAAGATAAAACTGGTTATATTTTTAATAATTTTTAATTATTAATAAAGACAAACACTTCAACCACTTTTGTATGTTTTCTGTCACTCAGTGGTAATTCACTTAACTGACGTTTGAATAATCAATCAACTTTTTTAATAAACGTTCATTGAGCGTATTAATTTTTTTTCAATTTTTTTTATAAATAAGGGTGTTACATGTTTCAAGACGGTAAGATCTCATCTTCAGTACAAGTTAAAATATCATAGAATACAGCCACAGAAGTAAAAACTTTACTTATTAAAAAGAGTCAAATAAACAAAGTCAGGCAATAAGACAGATACAAAATACATACAGTTAAAAATATTACAATTGTTTAATTATCTATAAAATTTTTAGAGAAAGTTAAATTGGCTTAACAATAGATAGATTATAATTTATAAAAGATGAAACAGGGAGATGGTGTAAAATTACCTTTATCTTATACAATAAAATTACGGGTAGCTAAATTTATATTATACAAGACTATTAAAAGTTAACAAACAAAAAATATTATCTAATTGTGTTTCCTTTATTTCGGCTTGTTTTAACTGTTCTTCTTAACAGTTTAAAAAATACATTAATAAATGTTCCAAATTATAAAAAAAATTTCAAATTTAATAACTTTTAATTCTCTTGTATAATACAAATTTAGCTACCCATAATTTTAATGTATAAAATAAAAGTAACTTTACACCACCTCCCTGTTTTATCTTTTATAAATTATAATTTTTATCTCATGTTAAGCCAATTTAACTTTATAATAAAAAAACTTTATACGTAACAATTTTATAAATTGTAATACTTTTAACTATATATAATTTGTATCTCTCTTTTATTGATTGTCTTTATTTCACTTTTTTTAATAAAGTTTTTTACTTCTCTAACTGTATTCTATGATATTTTAGCTTGGGCTTTGAAGATGAGACCTCACCATCTCAAAACATGTAGTCCCCTTATTTATAAAAAATTGTTGAAATAAAAAAATATAATACAAGATTGTGAGGATTTGTGTCTTTATTCCCTCATTAGAGGATATTCATTTATACTTTTCTTATATAAAAATAATAAAAAGTATAACTTTTACCTAAAACTATTTCCCAAATGTCTCGCATATTTGAATCATCCTGAATATCCACTTCTTTTATGCTTTTACCTATTAATGGACCAAACTGAGTAAACATTTGGATCTGTGTTTTACAAACTACACCCAATCCATGATTAGTTTTTGTATTTATAAAATTAAGGCAACTTGGTAAGGAGACTCTAAAAATTCAATCATTGAAAATCACTTACCATAAAGATTTGAATACTTATACCTTGAATAAATAAATCTATTTCGATCCAGATCTTCTTCAGTTTCACATTTAATATTTTTGTAATTTTGGTTGTCATGTATAGGTTTGTACTTATCTCTCCATAATTCCTTACTAACTGAATCTGATATGTTTAATATAGGATAATAGATTGGACAATGATCATCACTGTGTTTTGTATTGCAATTTGAACATAGTTTGAATTTATTTTCAGAATTTGAATTATCTTTTGAGTCATCATGTTGAATATGAAGTTGTGGAACTTTGCGGGCATCATAGTCTTTTGGCTTTTCTTTTTTAAGTGTATTAGTCTTTTTTCTCTTATTCTGTTTTTCTTCTTTTACTATATTTTCTAAGAGAAGAGATGCATTTTCAATGTTATTTACCACTTCTTTATTTAAATTTTCATTTTCACTTTCTTGTAACACTGTTTCTTCGTATTTATCAACCGAATTTCCATTTCTAAATTTTAAATTTTCTTTGACTGGTGTGCTTTTCCTCTCTGATCTAGAAAAAATTATAAAGCCAATGTGTAGAAAAATCAAAACAAACGCACGTGGTATGTGTTTATATTGATCTGTCAAAATACGATCCACCTACAAACATGTCTGCCGTATTCATTAGAATAGTGAACCGTAAAATGTGATATATGTTTACTTTAATCTGCTTTAATACAATTTTACAGTGAAACTTACTTAAATATGAACTTTTCAGCAATATCTAGTAGTTTTGTGACAAACTGTTCGTTGGATTTACAACTCAATTGCCGTTTTACTTCACACCATCGCTTGAAGTTTAAAGGACCTATAACAAACTTTAAAAGGGCAGCTTCCTGAAAATTTAACACCTCTGGATTCGTTTTTTGGTTGTTTGTGACGATAGATAGTGATTTTTCGATATTTTGAGCCACATTCGGCATTTTTAAAAATATTAAAGTAGATAAACCGAGAACGAAGCTATCGCTCTATCATCTTTAAGTTGGGCGACATGTTTGATGACGTCAGGCGGCGGGAATAATTCAAACAAATCGATAAAGTTTGCAATCATTTTTCTCTCCAAAAGGTCCTAAATTCTGAATACCTACTCACTAATATATTAAGTTGTGTACGATTTTAATGCTTTTTTATTGTAAAGATATTTGTGTACAATAACATATTTATAATGTAAATGATGAATTTAAAACATTAAAATCAGAGAAACGTCTGAAAAAATCAATAAAGAAAAGGTGCTAATAAATATAGTTATAACTTCTAATCTATTAATAACTTCAAAACATTTATTTTAATGATTTTTCCTGAAATATTAACACCGCCTAGTCACAGGCCTAGTACCTAGTTCAAAACATGAAACATATTTTGAATGTGAATATATAATATATGAACGAAATTATTTTCTTCTTGTTTTATATGAAGTAGGTACATATATAAAGATTGAAATAATGAAAAAAAAGTTAATTCAGCCCATTTTAAAGCACAGTAATGTAGTTCAAAATTAATTAATAATAATCTATTAAAATTTTAACAGATATAAAAACGACATATAATAACTCATGTACTATCAAAGAGTAGATGAGTAGATAAGACTTATCTACTCTTTGGTACTATCTCTGTTCGAGACAGGCGCCATACAGATACAGGCACTAAACCATGGAGTGTAGAGGTTGGAGTGTATGGAGTGTAGAAAGACAGTGTATGGAGTGTAGACCTCTACACTCCATACACTGAACCTTGGCGTCACCGTTCGGTTGTCTTCGTCATGGCGCAATTTATAAATTTTAGTGCAAGGTTGCCAATTATGCGGTGATCTATTTGTTGGTTTGTAAAATAAATGAAGGCGAATGTTAAGTGGAATATTTTTACATTACCCTCTTATTTGGTCATTTACGTTACCTTATCGATAAATTATAAATTAATAACTTTCTTTCAAAATATAGAAACCTTTAGACACTGTCAGTGGATTGTGAAAAAAATATATATGAAGCATTTTAATAAACACCAAAATGTGATCGTTATTTTGTTAAAATAATTTGAAACAATATTAATTTTTTAATCATAGTTTATGAGCAAAGTGGCACCTTTGGCGGCACTCTATAAGGTTCTTAACATGCTGGCATTGTTATCACTTTTTATTTTATTTTATTAAGGATCCAGTGTAATTAATGTGTTTATTTTATCATGCGCTACAATTAATATACCAAAACCAGAGACCAAAACACTTATTTTTAACTATAGAGGGTATAGGTACTTTTAACACAGGACGCGCGTTTTGCTATCCAAGTTAGCATCGCATCATCAGCACTATCAGCAATGATTAAAACTTAGTTTTAATTTTGATGCATTAGTGTTTTCTATTTTGTAGTTGAAACACCAAAGGTTCCAAACCCAAACTCTATTAATAAAAGATAAAGAGAACCAAACTCTATTAATAATTTAAAATACGACTTATTCTGAAGATTGGCAACATTGCTGCAGAATCTTTGTGGCACAATCTCCATAGGCACAATGACGAAGATAACCGAATAGCGACGCTGAAGTTAAAATATGGTTAAAATACCTAAGGCCAATCTAAGGCACACGATAACCGGGCCATTTCAGGTCAATGTCAGTTGTATGTGTTCATATACCAGTCATATACTTATAAAAGTATATGACTGCGATAGTTCTTACTAAATTCCCGATTAAACAGGCCGGATAGTCCTAGTAGCTTAAGCCATTCTGAAGCTTCTAAATTAATAAAAAACGAAGATATTGGGTTATGTATTAAATTCAGCATTTTTTTCATGAAGATTCTTGATTCTTATAAGACTATTTATATTCTAAGATGGCAAAGTTATTATCATATTACCGTTTATGTCCACTAATTGATAGTAAAAGTTTATTAGGAATATCTCACGATTCTGAAAAAGGTTTTGTAATTGTAACTTTGGGAAGAAATATTGTTATAAAGTATAGGGTAAGGTTTATTGCTACATATAAAATGCATAAGAGGCTAAAAAATTGTTTCGAGTTTATTTTTTTCTTGGATATCTGGTGCTTATACATACATTGAGATGCTACCTATATTGTTAATTGGTAATGTTTATTTTCAATCCTTCATGTTCGAAGCTGTTGCTATCGTGTAGTGAGACACGTGTATTAAGTACCTACTCTCTAGTACAATCTGTATTTATGTGTTCTAGTACTGATATGATACTGAGAGCGCTTGATATAGTAAATTTTATTTTGTTTTATTCACTTTCGAATACTTTTTTTTCTTTCTTTCAGCTCTCTGATCAAAAACAAATTTGTAGTTGGAGAACAAGAGATAAATTTAGTTCTCAAGTCTTATATGACAAAAGACTAGAAAAGTATGTAGGTGTTTTTAATATATCATTTCTCCGAATTTGGTCTAATGATGATGAAAATATTGATAAAATAAAAAAAATTAAGGTATTAATTGAAATATTGGTAATTTATTACTAATTTATCTAATTTTCCATATATATTTTTTTAGTTTACTCAACAAATACATAGTATTTTGTCACATAATGAAGAGACATATATTTTTTTTAAAGATGGTTCATTATATTCTTTGCGTGAAATATTAGAAAATAAGAAGAATTTTGTTCCTGAAAAGTTTCTTGTAGATGAATCTGTTCATAATATTTTATATACATCTGTAGGAGAAACTTTATATTTTGGCTATTTAATTAAAAGGAGGGACAAATATATTTTTCATTGGAGCAAATATACAAATAATTCAAAAAACAACTTTAATGCAATGCCTATACAAAGAGATCGACTGGATTTAAAGGGTTATGGATTGCATGTTGAAAAGAATTTAGTAATTTTCTTATCAGTTTGTAAGTTAAAAGTATAATTACTTGTGCCTAAGTATAATAATTACTAATGCTTACTTATAGTTTAAAGTGATAATATTTTAAGGGAGTGATGGTAGAATATATGCTCAACATTTGAAAGATAAAGAGAATTATGTAAATTCTAGTGAGCTCTTCACTGTTATAGAGCCAATTTCAACTACACATTTGGTTAAAATGATTGATATTGATGAAAATTACATAGGTGTGTATGGAGCAGACCCTAATGAAGAAGGTGCAATTTTATTAATATACAATACTCAATTTAAGGTAAAATCAATATATTATTAATTATAATGTTAATTTTGGATTAATAAAATTTATAGGTTAATCAGTCCAAACAGAACCACAAGTTATATACAAATGATTCCAAAATTTGGAGAATAGATGAAAATATTTTCTTACCTGTTGGTCAGAATTTAGTTGTCGTTCCGTTTTGTCTAGAATCTGAGCAGTTAGCAGCTTTAATTGGAAGTCATAAACCTTTGCCATCTAAACCTGATTCTGATGTGATATTTGTTATGGACTTTGAAGTTGGAAGTTGGCAAGACAAAATTAAATTGGGCAATAAGCTTGTTAGAAAAAAGTCACTGAAGTTTTCTGAGCACAAAGTACAAGAGTATTTTAAACAAGGTCTACCTGAAAGCTTAATTATAGAACAAATTCTTCCTAACGTCTTAGAAGAAAGTAACATTAAACTCCTTGGTGAAAGTTTAGATTTTTTTACTGACATACCAGAAAAATACTTATCGCTGATTCTAAATTTTATTTTGTCTAGAGATGAGGGAGAATTTTCACCTAAAAATAAAACTCTTGCTTTACAGAATTTACCTGAAGAACTTCTTCCATTAGAAAGGGTTGCTTTACTTGATAAATTATTAATTAGAAAGTACAGTGATGTCCTCCTATTGCCCTATCTAAGATCAGACTTACATTTAGAACAAGCTATTTGTCTTTTAAAATATATCACTTACATGCTTTCAGAAAATGGTCATAATTTACCTAAACTTAATGCTGTTAAAACTGAACAGCAAATCATAAATTGGGCCTCCTTAATAATAGATTCAAATTATCAAAAATTTGTATTATCTAGAGACAGCAATATTGAAAATATTTTAGTGGAATGTAAAAATAGGGTTACAAGTTATTTAGATATAGTCGAAGAACTAAAACAAATATCTCCAGCCCTTTATAGAATTAGTGAGGAAATTAAGGGCAAAAACTGTAATGTAGGATTTAATAATAGTTTGTATCTTGTTGAACAAGTAAGTTTTTATTAAATACACCAAATTCCAGAAATTAATCTTTTATTTGGCTCAACTTTTGTTTAGCTGAAATCAGTTATGTAACAACTCTGACAGTCAAAACACCCGAGAAACGTGTGGTTTCACTCTCTCACTTTAAACTTTTTTTTTTGGTACGGTAACTAATGTTTAAATTACAGTATGCCGCCGTTGGGCGGCATTTATCTATCAGGTTAATGACAAATTAATCCCGTTTTGCACCGGCATTTACAGATATGTGTGATGGTTTAAACCTTTTTTAGTTTTTTCTTAATTTTAAAACTATGAATTTCCGCAAGGAATTTCTTGCCTGTTTACGTTTACAAGGATGTTTAGAATGTAAAACAGAAAGGTATATTTATGACACATTTATTAACACTATATTTTATTTCAAGATGAAAATAACATTGCCGCAAAAAGTTTTTTGTGTATTTGTTTAAAGTGTTTAGAATGTAAAGCAGGAACAGAGCTGCAAGCTTACAGAAAACTAAAGTCTTTTTTTGATTTAAATCATTTTATTGACTTAATTCATTTGATTTTAAGTCATTTTCCGAAAGCTGACTTAAGACTTAAAATTTAAGTCTTTTTCAAAATGACTTGTGATTTATATATCTTTATTCCGCAATAGAAAAAGATTTAAGTCTTTTTATAAAAGACTTAAGTCAGATTTTTATATATTTTTATGATAAATTTTTAACAGCAGCATTCCTTTTTAAACTTTTAGGCGGCAGCCATGCAGCAGAATAAAAAAACCATGCTCAATACCACAAGCAAATAAAACGTTAGTTTTTCGAAACCGGTTTTGATTATTTGTCATGTTACGCGTGCGTAATGAGTCTGTTGTCTTTCAAGTAAAACTCCGTTATGTAGCCCGAAAGACGAACGAAAGAAACTTATCTCATTATTTGTGAGTTTGTAGTTCTGAAAATTAACCATTATATTTTATGTGGTTTTAGTCTCATCTGTACCTACAATAAATGATTATTATGATACTAGTAAGAACATCGCCTAATTAGTAATACAAGAAAATTAATATTAACATTGAAAAAATGGAACTTAAATTGAATTCTGATTGTCTCGACTAAGGTCTCGACTTGAGGGTAATTATATTGATTTAAGTCATTTTACTGACTTAACTTGCAAATCATCATAATTTAAGTAAAAAATATAAACTTAAGTCGTTAAGACGACTTAAATAACGTTATATTGATTTAAGTATTTATAGAAATGACTTGACTTGAAATAAATTTATTTAAGTAAAAGACTTGAGAGTTAAATCATTTGGACTTTATGTTTATTTTGACTTAAAACTGACTTGTTGCAGCTCTCAGCAGGAACATGTTTTCATGTAACTGATTTTAATTATTCTACTGCCGGAAAAAAGAAAATGATGCATTTCCGCAGATAAATTTTTATGATGTTGTGTTTAGGGAGACTTCTATATACTGGAATTTTCATTTTTTTATAAGTGGTTCCAGTTTAAAAAAAGCACCCTTCTGTTTTGTTAAAAAAACAAGATTCAGATGAAGGAACAAATCTTATATTTATACTGAAAGTGCTTTATAAAGTGCTAAGTTTCATGGCGAATGAGTAATTATTTTTCTCCTACACTTTGTGCGTTTCTCAAAGTAGTGCTCTTGTCACAGCAAACTGAATAGTATCCGTTTCTGAGTTTTACTTGCTATCATAGGTATCTTTGTTTTTATATCCACCCACATAGCCACTATCATCGGCTATGTTCTCACGCCCTTCTTTACCCTTCCCTTTTCCACTTTCGTCAAACCGTTCTTTGTGGGCTCCTGTATATTTTGAGGTGTCTGTCAAACGATCCACGGCACCCGTTTTTACTGCAATCTGAAATAACAGAAAAATAATATGTACTTACAAAGATAACAATTTTCTCCTTTTGTGTGAAGGTCGATTCTCACTTGCGCTACTCTTGGCTAGGCTACGCGACGCTACGTTGCACTGCAAAATACGGCTAGATTTAATAGTATAATTGAGAGTATTCTCACATGCTCTGCGCTACAGTTTTACATTTCCAACTTCCATCAGTGTTACTACACTTTTCAGCGCTGCTACGTGTCGCGTAGCTGATCCTGACTCAAGCCCTAATGAGAATCATGCGCGATTCTCACTATACGTAACGTCACCGTCACGTTACCGTACCGCAATGACTAAAGAATATAAGGACATGTAACGCCCCTGTACGGGCTGTAGTAGAATTTGTGACGTTAGACGCCATTCGTTTGATGCCAAACAGTGAGTCATCATCCAGTCACCAGCGACAATTTTAGCGATTTTTAATAGTTTGTTGTGTGTAGTGAACTTTGTATAAACTTTGTTACAATGGTGAATTGTGTAGCTTTCAAGTGTAAAAGCCACAGCGACAAGAAAGAGCCAGGAGTTACGTTTCATAGGTAAATAAACAGTCCACTCCAACTTTTTAGCGTTTTCTTATTGAATTCGATAATTATTCTTCAATTTCAATTAACATCTATATGTACTTGATATGTGCTATACGTCGATACTAGTTTTGTATCTTTTGTTAACATTTTAGTACGTTTTTTTCGTAATTAGTTAGGATGATACACCATAGGCGTAGTCAAAACAATTATCAAAAAATATAAATATTGCTTCAAACAGCTAGGTTAAGAAAAATATGTGCCACGGCACTGTTTGATGCCAGCGTCACAATTTGCTGTCGGGTGTTATTTGTCCTTGGATTCTTTAGTCATTGCCGTACCGTCAACCCTTAACCTCACTGTAAATATTAAATTTCCATATTTACACATGATTTACACTATCACTAACGTCCACCTTCCATTTACGCCATGTTGTCCATTCGGTGACGTTACGTATATAGTGAAAATCGCGCATTAGAATGTCCGGAGCTGTTTTTCGGTACGAGAAATTTCGGTACTACACTTCTAAGGAACCGTCCAAACATAAAATATCCAACCAAACTAATACATTGAACAGCATTATACTAAATAAAAAATATAACATATTTAAACCTCAGTAATTTAAAACATTTAAACATTTAGGTAAACATTTTCGAAACTTCAAAGGAGAAAAGAAGTAAGAACTATAAGAAATAGCATCACTACTTGGTTACTCCCCACATGCATAAGAAACCAAAAATTGAAGATAATTCTCGTGAGGAAATAGAAGTCTTAATATGCGCTGCAGTTGAGGAAAATCCAAATAGGAGCTGTGTACAAGTTGCTGAAGCAGTAAATTCAGGTACAACAACAGTTAAAAGGGTCCTCAAAAAATATGGTTATCGTTCAAGAAAAGCTAGAAATTTTCCCCGACGATCAATTTCGCAGTATGGAGTTTTGCGAAATAATTATGGAAAAGGTAAATCTTGACGAAAATTGTTTTAGGAGAATTGTTTTTACTGATGAGTCGTCCTTTTCCTCATTAAATCGGCAAAACTCCACGCACGTGCGATATTGGTCAAGAGAAAATTTGCATAGGTTTTATAATGTGCGAACCCAATATCCACAAAAACTAAATGTTTGGACGGGTATTGTAGGGAACACGTTATTGGACCATTTTTTATTGAGGGCAATTTAAATACTGCGAAATATTTGGATTTATTGCAACAACAAATTGTACCGGCGATTCGACGACAATTTGGCGAGAGATTTGGTGATATTTGGTGGCAACAAGATGGATGTCCAGCGCACAATGGACGTATTGTGCAAGAATATTTAAACAATACTTTTGGCAATTGACTAATTAGTGGGCATGGAACCATTTTGTGACCGCCAAGGTCACCTGACCTCTCGGTGAATGATTTCTTTTTATAGGGGTACATAAAATCTAAAATTTACGGCCATGAAGAAATTCAAAACTTGGAGCAGTTAAGGCAGAAAATATTTAATGCCTTTGACACTGTCACCCCTGATATGTTATCCAATGTGAGGAGAGGGGATTTTATGATCGTTTGGGTTATTGTTTAATGCAAGAGGGAGGCATTTTTGAACAATTTTTGTAATTTTTAAAATTTCATTATCCTGTTTTTTTAGCGTTTACCCATTACTTACCTTGACAAACATGGAAAAACAAATTTCCTTTTCACGACCACAAATATTTTGATTGAAAATTTTTTTTTCGATTAAAAAAACAAAAGTTGTTAATATAATACCAATTTAAAAGTGTTTTAGTAGTTTTAATACACACTATGCTATAAAATTTATTATTATTATAATGTACATTTTATTTCTACTTAATGTACATTATATTAATACTATTATTCATTCGAAATAGCATTAAGGCCCAATTGCCACCAATGTTTTAAATTTTTCTTAAAGATAAGTAGAGCTTAGAATGAGCTGCATTTATATTTACTTTAATATTCACCCTAAATGAGGGAATTTGACTGATACAATTTTTGAATTTGAATTGTTTTTAATGATACTAACAATTTTAGTTCAATTTTTAATAAAATTTATTTAATATTAATAGAAATCCAAGAGATTTGAAAGCTCTTTTAGCGATTTATAACATTCTCAAATGAACAACAGGTGCCCTTATTTTCTATGAAAACCATACAGCTTTTTTCATAGTCGCTGCAGTTGCTATAAAAAAACATAAATAAATGAATAGGGGCACTATTCTCTTAGTTTCATATTAATTATGTTTTTAAAGAAAAAGTCACAGTTATAACTCGACTTAAGCTAAGAAGATCTTAAATATCGCCATGCAATTGGCTATACATTAATGTCAAAACTAATTTTTTAAGGTGTAACAGTTGCGACACACGCTAAATGGACTTGATTTTTCCTGTCTCGAAGTCTGTGGACCTTTCTGTGTATATAGTCAAAGATATTAAATGATAAATATAGTCTTACAGAAGACAAAAGTATTTTTGTTCTGAATTGAGTTAAAAACGTTAATAAAAAAACCATTAGTTTGGATTAACTTCATAGGCATATAATCAGATAATAGACTAATCAGTTTTTACATCATACACTATAAAAAAGAAAATGTAAAATTACCACGATGAACGATGAGCGTGGGTCCATTTGTGACTCAGGACTATCGTGGCAATTTTACATAGCTTATTAAAATATTTAATTTTTCTGTGTAAATTTTCACAAACTTCTGTTACTAGTAACTGGAAATATTCGCTAGAACGGAACGTTTCGGAACTATACGCGAAAATTTGAAAACATTCCAAGAATTTTACTATCTCTTGGCCCTCCTGAGCCAAGGAGCGATTCTATTACGAACGAACCTATTAAATCAATAATTAGCTTTCCAGCATTTATTGCCAAGTTACCCATCTCTAATGTAATTCGCCTATAAATTTATTATATATGCGTCTGAGATTAAACGTACCGTTGTTTTAGTAGTTCCGGGAGGTCCACACTCCATCAGTTTGTCTTTAATTTCATCAGGCGTCATTTTCTTCTGACCGGCCAAATCTTCGATAAAAGCGTTGAAATTTTGGAAATTGATAGTTTTAGACCTAAAATGTTATAATGTTATATTTCTTTACTTATGTACCAATTAAGGATAACCACTGTTTACTTGAATTTATTAAAAGTTATTCCAGTATCGGTTTGAGTTAATTTTTTATCGAACACTTGAGCCTGTTTGAACCATTTATCGATTTGCGTTAAAGTGATAGTTTTTCCGTCGGCTTTCGTATCCCCAAACTTTGCAAAATTAATGAATTGCTGATCGAGTTTTATGGCCATTTTGTTTATTTACACAGATAATTTAGTATTTCCAATGATGAATGAAAATGATGCGAATACGTAAATGAGACGTTTTACTCTGACTTATGGCTACCTGCGGCTACCTGAAAAGTGAATTTCTACCCTAATATCTACGTTGTTCGAGCGTTTGTGTTTTTCAAAGTTGCCGTAGCAACATTTATTTGATCAGTTTTATTTAATCTACATTTATTTTTCTACTGTGTTATATTGCTTCATGCGTACACTTATGGTTAGTCCAGGAAAAATAATCATAAACGCTATAGGCCAGGAAGCGAGAGTTTTAGGGTCCAAATTCTGAACACCTGCACCGATTAACGTGAAATTTTAACAATGAATAGTATATTGTTAAGTTTTTCGTCGGTTCCGTGTGGATAGAAAGTCACAATTTATTTAAACACTATTTATTTAACACTAATTAATAAAAACAATAACGATAAAAGACTTATAGAACTATTTACAAACGATTTATAACTAAGAATTTATTTTGAATTTTAGCGCGTCAACTGTATATTTATAACTGCCCCCTGTAGGCCACAGCCGCCGGCTTTTATACCGACAGGTAAAGAACTCTAGAATAGTCCATAGATCGTTAGGTGCGTATGAACGGTAGGCCAACAGGAACAGGTGAAGAAATTTGTCCCAGTCTCTTTGGTGGTCAGAGACTACTTTGGCCAGATAACGGTTGATAGTTCTGTTCATGCGTTCAACCATCCCATCGGATTGTGGATGTAGAGCAGTCGTCCTGGTCTTGCGGATGTTCAGGACTTCACAGACGTTGGGACCCTCTTCTTTGGAATGACGATCTGCCTTCTCTCTTCTTGTCCCTCCGGTCTCTCGATCACACGGCGAAGTAGTCCGTTATCTATTACCAAGGAATTCCACTGGGCCCAGTACGACTTTACGTTCGGCGAATATCTGCAAACTTCTTCCCACGTTGGTCTTTGGCCTGGGGTTTTCCAGTTAATTACTAAACCTAATTCTGGGTCACTGGTTTGGTCATTTGCAAGATCTTCGGGTTGCCAACTATCATTAACCACAGTTGTTCTTAGGAGTTTCACTTCTTTCTCTTCTGCTCGGGAACAATGCTTACAGTCCTTAGCGCAAGGTCTTCTGTAAAGTGCGTCGGCATTTCGATGGATTGCTCCAGCTCGATGTTCTGTGTCGAAGTCAAATTCTTGTAATCGTTCAATCTAGCTATCTGCCCTTCAGGATTCTTAAACTGCAACAGCCATTTCAAAGCAGCATGGTCTGTTCTTAACAAGAACTTTCTTCCATAGAGATACTTGTAGAAGTGTTCCACTGCTTTAACTACTGCTAGTAATTCTCGTCTGGTTACACAGTAGTTCCTTTCCAGTTTTCACAAGGTCTTACTAAAATATCCAATGACTTTTTCTTGACCATCCTGGATCTGAGACAGAATAGCGCCTAACGCAACATTGCTAGCGTCGATATCCAATATAAAGTTTCCGTTGCCAAGAGGGTAGCTAAGTATGGGCGCACTAGTCAGGTCCTTCTTCAATTTTCGGAATGCCTCGTCAGAATCTGAGTCCCAAGAGAAACGCCTCTCGCCTTCGGTAAGTCTGGTCAATGGTTTTGCGATGGTGGCGAAACCCTGTACATAGCGGCGATAATATGTGCATAGTCCCAAAAAGCTTCGTAGTTCATGTTTATCTTTAGGTATTGGCCACTCTTCCACTGTCTTGGTCTTCTGTAGATCTACCGCAACTCCTTGGGAGGAGACTACATGTCCCAAGTTTCAAACCAGAGCTCCCTAGTCGCTTGAAAACTTCTTCCAAATTCTTCAGATGATCGTCAAAGGATTTCCCAACCACTATGATGTCATCCAGGTACACTAAACAGGTAGTCCAGGATAGACCCTTTAACACAGACTCCATTAGTCTCTCAAAGGTAGCTGGCGCGTTGCACAATCCAAAAGGCATGACGGTAAATTGCCACAGTCCGGTGCCCACCGAGAACGCTGTCTTCTCTCTGTCTTTCGGCGCCATGTCGACTTGCCAATATCCACTCTTCAGATCTAACGTAGAGAATATCGTTGACCCCGCCAGCGTGTCTAGAGTATCGTCTATCCTCGGCAGGGGATAACTATCCTTCTTGGTAACATTATTGAGCTGCCGATAATCAACACAGAACCTGGTGGTACCGTCTTTCTTCTTTACTAGTACTACCGGCGATGTCCACGGGCTGTTAGATGGTTCGATGACACCCTCTTCTTTCATTTCTCGAAGGATTTTATCAGCTTCTTCACGTTTGGCGAGCGGAAGTCTTCTCGGATTTTGTTTGATTGGTCGTGCATCTCCGGTATCAATTTTGTGTTGTACTAAATTGGTACGACCTCTCTGTCCTGCTTCTCCTTTATCAAACACATCTTGATACTTGATTATCAGGTTTCTCAATTTTCTTCTATTTTCGGGAGATAATCCTTTAACGTTTACTAACTCCTTCACCATTTTGTCCGGAATTTTTGAAGTCGAAACTTGGAGGCTTCCACGCTTCGAATGACTGAGGAGCCGAACAACAGTACCCTAAAAGGGTTCCCTTCTTCAAGGATACAGAATAATAATTTGTGTTCATTACTCTCGCCGGTACAGTTTTCTTCGCTCGTAGCAGGGCTTTTCCAACAGCGATCCCCCGTCCTATTTCGCTGTCATGGTTCCTTGGCTCCAACAGAATAATACTCCCATTATTCATTTTATCTTCCAGGCAACCATCCAAAAATATCTCACAGCGCTCAGGGATCGAAACATCTTCTGCTACCACCACGCGAAGCGTCTCCTCACATTTTCGATGTAGAACCACTTCTTCTTCATTTATTTTCAAAATTCCCTGTTTGAAGTTTAGTTCAAAACCTCTAGTGGCCATGATGTCCATTCCGAGAATAAGTTCATCTTCGATATCTGCTACTACCACTGGATGTTCAAAACTGGTGCTCCCAATAACAAAATTAAGGTTTACTTCTCCATGGACAGCAGCAGAGCCCCCCGTAGCAGTACGTAGTCGCCATTGTGTTGTTTTAACCTTCTTCGATGTTTTAAGAATGTCCGGTCTGATAATAGTTTTCGTCGCTCCTGTATCCAACAGCATAGTCCGGAACTCTCCATCAACAAAACCATCCACAAACATGCTGTTGAATTTGTGTTGTAGCGAGGCGACTCGAGCAGTTTTCGTTGGGGCATGTTGGGTACAGGTCGACGTGTGCCCCTTCATTTCGACCCTTAGTAGTTTTCCGACCTCGACGAAGCCGGTTCTTCGTTCTTCTCCTTACAACGGCTTCGCACGTGTCCTACCTGTCCGCAGTTCCAGCAATGAATCAGTCCCTTCTTGCCCATGTACTGGTCCATTACCTTCCGAACAATCCCTTCCACGGATTCGTCGGAACATTCGTCGATGGCCCGTACTCTTCTTAAAGACCTAGAACTTTGTTTCGCGGCCTCAAATTCTAGGGCACGTGCTAAAGCATCCACCAAGTGCGTTGGGTGGGCTAGGAGAAGTGCTTGTCTTGTAGCTCCGTAGAATTCTCTATAATCTTTTCTTCTAATTCCCTGGAATTTTCTGTTATATTTTCTTCTAAATTAAGTATTTTATTCAGTTCATATCGAACAGTCATACGAGACGGTCGTGCTTTCGTTTCGTTTGTGGACCGCCGGTATTGAACGTTTGTTTTGTTTTGTTTTGTTTGGATTTGTCGTGTGTTGTTATTCGGTCTTGACCCGACCCGCTTCAGTTCGCTAGTTTTCGCTGAACGTGCGTTTCTGCTTTATTTTATATAATTATTTTTATATAGATATTTTTTAAACGTGACCTAGCTTCGTTGACATTGACACTCTTTTTTATTATTGAACTATACTGTCTTGTTTAATTTAATATTTTCCGATTTTGCTGTTCCTTTACACTTCCAAATGGCAGATTTTAAGTGTGATTCGTGCCAAAAACCATCTCGGAAAAGGAAAATATAGACTTCGTTGTAGTGGGGAGTGCCGCCGCAACTTTTGTATGACCTGTACTGGGCTGGACAAGACAACCACAAAAGTGATCCACCAGCAAAAGTTCAAAAATATTAGGTTTTTCTGCAATGTTTGTGATTCTCCCACGATGAAGTATCTCCATGACAAAGTTTCACAGCTTCAGAAATCACAGATCCCTCTAGAAACTGTTGAAGGTCTGGGAACCTGTTTAAAAAGGAACAACGACCTGCTTCCAGTCATAACTGAAATCTATGACATATTGAGTTATCATGACTCCAAATGGAAGTCTTTATACAAAAAAATGGATGATATTCACTGCCACCACTCCAAAATTTCGGAAAATGGTCAACAATCTTTATTTCATTCGATCAGTGAAATAAAACAAGAAATACTCAACCTATCATCCATTTTTATGGACTTTCAGGATGAGTCTGTTAGGGTCCAGGTTCATGACTCTTCAAAGGTAGATCTTTTGAAGGAAGTCAGTGAGCTGCGTAGGAGCGTAAATCAGATGGCAACCACAATAGAAAAGTTTGCTGCCCAAGGCAAGCAAAATAATAGGAGTAGCCCACCAGCAATAAAAAAGTCAACTTCGACTCAGACAGATTGCCAAGCCTCAGTGGGTGTCACTTCTTCTAAAGTCAGTACTCCCCCACCTCACAAACCCTCCATTAGAAAAGCCTGGCATTATGTCGTTGTGTCCAATATCCCATCTCCCTTTACGGCAAACCAACTGGCTCACTATATCAAGGATAAACTTGGAACTTCGGACTTTATTCGTTGCTTTCCTATGCTTAATAGTGAGGACAGTTCACTCTCAAAATTCAAAGTTGGAGTGCAGAATATAAGGCACCTAGAGCGGCTGCTTGATATAAGTATGTGGCCCCCAGGAATTGAAGTAGTCAATAGCAATGTCCAACCATCTTTGACTCCCTCGGAGGTATCGCCGCAAAAATCAAGATCTTCTGCCATGGGATTTCAACAGCCTAAGATTTCCACTTTGGAGAAACGAAGCCTTCCACAATCTTCCAATTTACCTACAGATCTAGCCAAGGAGGTCAAATACGTTAAAATTGGTTCAGACAGGGAGGCTATAGCTGCGAGTAAGTCCTTTGGGCAGCAGGAGGCGAAAAAT